ATCAGCATTAAGCATCATTCTCACCTTTTAATCCGACATTTTTACTAGTGTCAATGACGGTCGAGCACGGCCCACTCAACGGTCGCCCATGAGCGTAATCAGTACCAGGGGTACAACTAAAGCGCAACCTGCCGCTTAAGGCTCGCTAAGCAAGTATTTTGAAAAAGAACAAGTAATCGCACCACACCATCTCAGCTAATTGTAGATGAGCGTTTCCCAAGCTTACGCCATAATTGATGCTGAGCCAAATATCTTACAATAGTTTTTTTTTATAGCCTTTGTTGGCAGACGAGCATACGGCCCACCTGATGGTAAGTGGTCACCGTCGCTCATGGACGTCAACAATGCCAGGGGCAGAGCCAAGCCGCTGCCTACCATATATACAATACAATAATTAAGATTTCAAACTTATGTATGAAAGAGGATGACGGCAATCAGTTTGCTACATCTATGGGCTTCGGAACCTGGCTACAACCAAACGGGTCGTGAGTTCGTCTATCCATCTGCACTGATAAAATTTAACCAAGTATTGAACTAGCGAATACGCCAGAACACCATCCAAGCTGGTAGGTACATCACACACAGTATTCTTAGGACTCATGATGGGAATCAAGGGCAGTGTTAAGTAGATAAATGATGGGATGAAGTGGTAGTAGGTGTGAGCAGAATACCATAATGTTTTGATTGATAGTTGGAAAGACTATTATCAAGCAGAAATCGTCTAGTCGTATATTTGTATTTTCTACCAGTGTCGCCAGGAAATAATTAAATCACTATGATCTTAGTTATTCTGGATTGTTATTACTGGGGCAAATATAATTTCCCCATCGGGAACAAAATAATTTTGAATTAATAGAATTTTATAGCTCTTCCATATTTTATGGTGTTCTGGGTAAAATTATAAGTCCTTAAAAATCAGTAATTCATAAAGGATAGAATTATTGCTATTTTTATGGAGGAACTCAAATTAAAGTTCTATTTCGCTCACTCTTTTCTCAGCTTTTACCTATTAATTAAACTCCACCATAATAGAAAGTAATTGCTACATCTATCCATTAACAAACGCGTAATTATATTTTCAAGTAACAAAAACACTTTCACTAATCCTTATAATTTTCTTGCAGCCTCGTTAAAACACAAACTAAGCGTAGTGAAACCTAAATATTTTATTTATTCAAATAAGTTTTGGTTGACATACAGCGACGTCTTAAAAAGTTTTGACTGCATACAAACGTACTTCACTCTGGAAGACAACAGCGAGGGTGTGGTTTCCATAAAAAGCTTAGCATCCAAATATGTCGATGTGGATCTGTTTGAACCGACGCCGGTTCAAGGACAAATAGATACAGCAGCTGTATTATATTCATCAGGAACTACTGGTATGCCGAAAGGAGTTCAATTAACTCACTTGAATTGTATACTAAGCAGTCTACCTTCTAAGTAAGTAATATGTGCAATAATGATATCGTATTGTGTGCTATTTGTGTCAGCCATGTGGGGGGGGAGGGTTGCCAAAATCGCCACGCTTGGCATGCGGGTTGGCGATCGCAGTGTGCTGTTATGATACTCGGAAAACGCTGCTGCCTATTCTCTGGATAATCCCAATAATCACTCACAATGGGCCTTATGAGAAAGCTCAAGGTCCCCCAAAGAGCAATGGAGAGGACTATGCTCGGAGTTTCCCTGCGAGATCAAATCAGAAATGAGGAGATTCGCACGAAAACCATGGTAACCGACATAGCCCAAAGGATTGCGACATTGAAGTGGCAGTGGGCAGGACACATTGTTCGCAGAACGGATGGCCGTTGGGGCCAGAAAGTTCTTGAGTGGCGACCGCGTACTGGAAGACGTAGCGTCGGTAGGCCTCCCACAAGATGGGCCGACGATCTATTGAGGTTCGCGGGGATCCGCTGGATGCAGGCAGCGCAGGACCGGTCTTTGTGGTGAGGCTTGGGGAGGCCTATGTCCAGCAGTGTACGTCCATGGGCTGATAAGAAGATTGTGTGCTAGCAAACAGGTGGATCGATGACTTAGTGCGCACGGCGAGAAGTCGTTGGATGCGGAAGGCGGAGGACTGCGTTATATGGAAGGCATTGGGGAAGGTTTATGTCCAGCAGTGGGCAGATAAAGGCTAATGATGATGATGACGATGATGAAGCATTTTTTCCCTACATAAAATGTTTGGCCTCGACGACTTCTTTCTGCATTCTCTATTTGCAACAATGCTCGCTTGTAACTATTTACAATGCACATATTCAGTTTCAGCTACGAATCTCTGCAGACTGTTTTCGTTTTTGGTGAATGGTATCATAATTACGATACATTTATGACGTATAAATTTTTAACGAAGGGGAAGAAAATTGTTTACGTGGATAATCCGACCCCAGCTGCAATGCTTAAAACAATTGAACTTATGAAGGTAAGATAAAAATGTTTCTTCATTAAACTATTTCACATTAAAACAATCAATCGAAAAAATATTATTATATCTGGAATATTTATTATTGTAGGTTAACATTGGATTTCTCGTGCCATCTTTTGTCCATTATATTTCGAAAAATGATGAAGTAAAAAATCACAATTTAGATTCTCTAAAAATAATTTATTCACGCGCAAGCCCTCTTCATATTAAGACCATGGAAAAAGTGAAAGAAAGGTGAGAATTAACTTAATTTATTTAGTTTCTAATGAAGTAATTATTGTAATATAGATATTAAATTAAAAATACATTATTATAGTTAGCGTAGAGACCCTAAAGTTTGAATAATTATACTATTTTACTTAATTTCGATATTTTAGATTACCGAAAGTAAATTATATAATTCAAGGATATGGGATGACAGAAGCTGGAGAATTAAGTTCAGAGTGCTGGGGCGATAAAGGAACTAAACTCGGGAGCGTTGGCAAGGCTACACCTGGCATTATACTAAAAGTAATAAAGCTTTTTTTTTTTGGTCAGGAGGAAATCGCCGGACACCCACCCTCCACTGGGGATGGAGGGCGGGGCATGTCGGAGTCGAACCGACTAAAACCTCCTGTCGCTCAACAACCCGCGTCCGAACCTCGCATGAGACAGAACCCATGAAAAGGCAAAGGGGGAAAGTGAAGGGTTTAGTGCGGAGCACATCTCTCCCATCACCCTCCCCCTCGGGACGCCGGGCCAGCGATCGTCGGCGCCACGACCGCCAGCCCTCTCGGTCGGCAGGCTGTCCGAAGCCCGCCTAGATGGCGCCGGTTTGAATGGGTTATCCTACGAAATACCCAGCTGGGTCAGAACCAGCGTGGGTCGAGGATAGCCAGCCTTCCTTCACCCGGATGCTCTTGCGTAAAACGCGTGCAGAGCAGCTTGCACGTCGTCTTCTTGGGCCCCCTTCGCCGGTCCCCAGGCCGACATGTGAGGGAGACCCGAAACACTTAGAGGGCCAGGGCAAAAAAAAGTAATAAAGCTTAACTATTTAAAAAGTATTTGTGCTTATGGTCATTACTGGTGGTAGGACCTCTTGTGAGTCCGCGCGGGTAGGTACCACCACCCTGCCTATTTCTGTCGTGAAGCAGTAATGCGTTTCTGCGTTAATGCGATGTCTATGGGCTCCAGTAATCACTTAACACCCATGCAGCGCAACCGCGAGTCCAAGCGCCACGAAAATACGACGCTCCGCGTTCGAAAAATCGTAAAAATAGTGAAAAGTTCTCGGATATTGACGTGCTATACATCAAAAGAAGCGGAAAGTGAAGGCGCACATGCCTGTGAAAATCTCATGACTTTTAGTGTTGTGGCCACAAAAAAAAATCGGCAAAAAAGTGATTTTTTGTGAAATTTGGAAAATAAAAAGTTGTCTATCTCGCGATTTTCAGCGACGACCCACATTTTTTGAACTGTGGAACGGAGGGCATCCTGGTGCTCTACAATCCTGCCAACTTTCAGATTTCTCTTGTGTAGGATCACAGAGAGACAGCCAGAAAAACAAAAACCACGTGGCAACGTGGTCATTGACTCTGTACCGCCAGACCATTTTTCTGAACGAGGCTTTGGAGACACCAAGGAGAGCAGCTGGGAGGCACCTTCAGATTGAAAATCTGACAAGTGTTGACGGAGATAGAGACTCGGAAAGTTTAGCGCAGTTTTGTTTTTTATTATAAGTGTTTTTATTTAAATTTTTCAGTGACAACATAAGTCATTTTTTTGTATATTTGCTGGCCCTATGCTGTTAAATATTTTTGTAGAAAAATTAGATTTTTAGGACGAGCGGTTTCCGTGCGCGATAATTCAGAACTAAGTTACCAACCGCAAAAAGACAAAAAACGCTTGTTTCTTGGAAACAGCGTGAGTTGGGAAATTTTAGGCCAGACTGCATATATTATAATAATATATGTAACTAACCCCCTACATTTATTTTATTTTTCAGTTTTTATTTTTATTTTACCATATTTATTCAACAAAATGTTTAAATAGTTTTGACTTGATTTAGATAGTTTGACTTGACTGGATCCCCCCTATACAGGGATCCCAAAATATCAATTTGACTTTGAGTACCCGTCGACCCTCGTACCCTCACCGTAAAATGTTCGGTATCAGAACACCAGTTAAAAAACCAAACGGCAGTGAGGACAAGTCTGAATTCGAAGAACAGCCAGGTCCGTCTGTAAGGCGCAGCATTGGTGATTGGCCCCCCATAGTCGAAAAAGAGCAGCAAAGGCCAAAAACACCATCTCCACCAAAAGCTGTGCCTCAGCCGCTCCCTCCTAGGCCTAAGACCAAAGCGTTGATCGCCCAGGAAGCAAAAGCTGACCCACGGAGACAGGCGGCAAGAGTCAGTGACAGCCCGCCAATTACAGTCCCGTCGAGATTTCCGAGCAAAACCGCAGAGGCTAAAGCGTGCCTTATGAAAAGCAAGGCGGAGCTCGAAATCTCCAAAAACCTAAAACGGGAGATAAAAGAAGAAATTTTTAGGTCAATCGAACGGCTCTACCAGCTGGTGAAAGAAGCCGAAGGCGAAAAGGCTTCCCAAGCCACCAACAAGTGGCCGACAGAAGCCTGTAGCATGGTCACTCGGACTGGTAACGAGGGTGACATATCACCGGGCCCAGAAGCGCCGACAGAGCTCATGAAACAGCTAATAGGCGGCCTCAAACAGCACCACGTTGCGTTAGAGGAATGCAAATGGCATACTCGAGCTCTGTCGGAACAGCTGGANCTTTAGGTCAATCGAACGGCTCTACCAGCTGGTGAAAGAAGCCGAAGGCGAAAAGGCTTCCCAAGCCACCAACAAGTGGCCGACAGAAGCCTGTAGCATGGTCACTCGGACTGGTAACGAGGGTGACATATCACCGGGCCCAGAAGCGCCGACAGAGCTCATGAAACAGCTAATAGGCGGCCTCAAACAGCACCACGTTGCGTTAGAGGAATGCAAATGGCATACTCGAGCTCTGTCGGAACAGCTGGAGCAAACCCCTCTCTACGCCGCAGGACATGGGTCATTAGACGAACACAGCCAACTCTTAAAGGAAAACAAAGAAGAAATAGAAAAACTAAGTGAAGAAATAAAAAAGCAAAGGACAGAATGGAAAGAAAATAGGAGCTACGCAAGCGTTGTCAGTGGCACAAAGGAGAAAGAACGCGGAAATGCGGAGAGGCATTCCGTCGTGATCTCCTCAGACGACCAGAATGCCACAGGGGAAGACGTATTTAATAAGATCAGGTCAACCCTCAACGCTAAAGAGGAAGGGATAAAAATAGACAGGATAAGAAAGGTGAAAGATAGAAAAGTTATAGTCGGCTGTGAATCGAAAGAAGAATTAGTAAAAATAAGAGAAACAATTAAAACAAAGGGAAAGGACTTACACCTCCAGGAGATAAAAAATAAGGAACCCATGGTACAATTGAAGGATGTCCTGAATTATAATAAGGACGAAGATATAGTGCGAGCACTAATTAACCAGAACAAACATCTTCTGGGGGATGTGAGTGTGGACAGCTCAACTTTGAAGGTAAAGTTCAGAAGGAGAGCTAGAAATCCGCTCACATCCCATGTGGCAATACAAGTGCCACCAAAACTATGGAAGCGGCTCACGGAGGCGGGGCTAGTACATATAGATGTGCAAAGGGTCAGGGTAGAGGATCAGTCTCCCCTGATTCAGTGCTCGCGGTGCTTGGGATATGGCCACGGGAAGCGGTTCTGCCGGGAAAAAATTGATGCCTGCAGTCACTGCGGAGAGGCGCATCATAGGTCGGAATGCGCTGACTGGATGGCGAGGGTGCCTCCGTCGTGCTGTAACTGCTTGAAGGCTAAAATCGGTGAAGCCGAGCATAATGCCTTTAGCCCAGAGTGTCCAGTAAGGAAGACCTTGGCAAGATCTACCGTGACTTATTGCTAAGGTGGACTCCAGGAACCCAGATCAGATCATCCCCCCAAGAGGCGCTGTGTCGACCCTCGTTGCACAATCCAATCTACAGCGCAAACATCTAGCGACTAGTGAATTTCTTTTGGAAGCAAAGAAGAGGAGGGTTGACGTAGCGTTGCTCCAGGAGCCGTATGTGGGAAGCCAGGGTAGAGTGAGGGACCATCGGGGTGTGAGGATCTTCCAGGGGATCAACGGGCAGGGGGCTGTTATCAAGTCNCCTGAATTATAATAAGGACGAAGATATAGTGCGAGCACTAATTAACCAGAACAAACATCTTCTGGGGGATGTGAGTGTGGACAGCTCAACTCTGAAGGTAAAGTTCAGAAGAAGAGCTAGAAACCCGCTCACATCCCATGTAGCAATACAAGTGCCACCAAAACTATGGAAGCGGCTCACGGAGGCGGGGCTAGTCCATATAGATGTGCAAAGGGTCAGGGTAGAGGATCAGTCTCCCCTGATTCAGTGCTCGCGATGCTTGGGATATGGCCACGGGAAGCGGTTCTGCCGGGAAAAAATTGACGCCTGCAGTCACTGCGGAGAGGCGCATCATAGGTCGGAATGCGCTGACTGGATGGCGAGGGTGCCTCCGTCGTGCTGTAACTGCTTGAAGGCTAAAATCGGTGAAGCCGAGCATAATGCCTTTAACCCAGAGTGTCCAGTAAGGAAGAGGTGGGAAACCTTGGCAAGATCTACCGTGACTTATTGCTAAGGTGGACTCCAGGAACCCAGATCAGATCATCCCCCCAAGAGGCACTGTGTCGACCCTCGTTGCACAATCCAATCTACAGCGCAAACATCTAGCGACTAGTGAATTTCTTTTGGAAGCAAAGAAGAGGAGGGTTGACGTAGCGTTGCTCCAGGAGCCGTATGTGGGAAGCCAGGGTAGAGTGAGGGACCATCGGAGTGTGAGGATCTTCCAGGGGATCAACGGGCAGGGGGCTGTTATCAAGTCAGCCATTGCTGTGTTCAATGACGGTTGGGTAGTGACTCCTTGTCCATCCCTAACCACGACCAACATCACAGTGGTGAAGATCTACACTGGAATACGCAATTTAGTGGTCGTATCGTTCTACTTTGAGCCGGATAAGCCCATTGGACCATACTTAGTTGCTCAACGATGGCCAGACTCCAACATTCGAGACAGTTAGGGGAGGTAAGCTCCTCACCAGTCACATCGACATAACAGCCTGCTCGGAGGATATCATTGGTCTGATAAGCGACTGGAAGGTGGATGACACCATGGCGAGCTCGGATCACAACGCAATAACGTTCGTAATTAAGAAAAGCAAAGATAAGTATACACANATCTACAGCGCAAACATCTAGCGACTAGTGAATTTCTTTTGGAAGCAAAGAAGAGGAGGGTTGACGTAGCGTTGCTCCAGGAGCCGTATGTGGGAAGCCAGGGTAGAGTGAGGGACCATCGGGGTGTGAGGATCTTCCAGGGGATCAACGGGCAGGGGGCTGTTATCAAGTCAGCCATTGCTGTGTTCAATGACGGTTGGGTAGTGACTCCTTGTCCATCCCTAACCACGACCAACATCACAGTGGTGAAGATCTACACTGGAATACGCAATTTAGTGGTCGTATCGTTCTACTTTGAGTCGGATAAGCCCATTGGGCCACACTTAGAGCAGCTGGGGAAAGTGGTTGAAACACTGGGATCTCGCGGAATCCTTATAGGGGGCGACACCAATGCGAAAAGCGTGTGGTGGGGCAGTGTAGGCACCGACGCCAGGGGAGAGGAAGTGTTAGGCATGCTAGGAGAATGGGGATTGCAGTTGCTCAACGATGGCCAAACTCCAACATTCGAGACAGTTAGAGGAGGTAAGCTCCTCACCAGTCACATCGACATAACAGCCTGCTTGGAGGATATCATTGGTCTAATAAGCGACTGGAAGGTGGATGACACCATGGCGAGCTCGGATCACAACGCAATAACGTTCGTAATTAAGAAAAGCAAAGATAAGTATACACAAGCAAAATCAAAAACAACTAGGAAATATAATACAAATAAAGCTAACTGGACATATTTTAACGAAAAACTCGAAGAATTAATAGAAAATAATAATCTAACAAACACAGAAATAAGAAATATCAAGGAAAAAACAAAGCTAGACGAAGTAATAAATAAATATACAGAAGTAGTCACAGAGGCTAGTAATAGTGCCATACCATTAATAAAGATTAAAAACAGCATGAACTTACCGTGGTGGTCCGAGAAACTTGCCAAAATGAAGCAGGGAGTCGCCACCAGAAGGAGAAGAATCAGATGTGCAGCGCCAGTACGAAGAGCCAAGGTCGTCCGGGAGTACCTGGAATCAAAAGAATTATATTATGAGAATGAAGCGAAGAAAGCAAAGATAGACAGCTGGAAGGAGTTCTGTAAGAAGCAGACCAAAGAAACCATCTGGAACGGCGTCTACAGAATGATAGGAAAAGTGTCAGTGAAGAAGGAAGACCTGCCACTAATCTACCGAGGAAAAACCCTAAGTGAGGAGGAGTCAGCGAAGCACCTGGCAGAAAACTTTTACCCAGAAGACAAGTCAGAAGAAGACAACGCAGAACATCAATCAATTAGGAAAGCAGCCGACCGTATAAATGGAGGACAGGATGATGACTATCAGGATCCACCATTCACAGTACATGAAGTTTTAACGGCGGCAGAAAGCTTTAATCCAAAGAAAGCCCCTGGAGCGGATGGTTTGACTGCTGACATCTGCAAGCAAGCGATCCAGAAAAATCCGAAGCTGTACCTGTCACTGGCAAACAGNCCAACTGCGGCAGAGATGGGGCTGGACGGAAAACGAAAGCTGTGAATGCGGATGCCCAGAGCAAACTATACGCCACATTGTCATGGAATGCCCACTAACGAGATTCGCAGGCCAAGTGGAAGATCTCAAAAATGTAACAGAAGCAGCTATAGATTATTTCACAAACTGTAAATTTAAATTATAACCACGCAGTGTAAACGAATGCCATATGATAAATAAATAAAACTATACATAAGTGAACTTAATAATGTGACAGCCGCTTCACATCATTTTTACTCAGTCGCCAGATATGTTAAATTGTAGAATGTAATGTATCAACCGATTTGAATAAAACTAAAAGAAAAACACTAAAAAAAAAACGATTTTCGCTTATATTTAAAATATTTTGTCTTTGTATTATGTTTTTTGTTTATTGTTTTGGTGATGACACTGCTGACTGCTGCGCTGCAGAAATGAGCAGAATGGAGGTGGATACAAAACCCATGCCAGTTTATCATGCCGTGTAATTTGTAATACGAGGTATAAGACCAACGAGCCGAAGCTAGAACGAAAATCGATTATTACATAACCTAATCAATATGGGAAAATCGACTAATTTGTTTAGCTGGTGCATATATATATATATATATATTTAGTCAGGTCATAAGTATTGTCACACAGTAAAAACTTTTCTTTTAGAATGCTGGCCACAAAAAAGTTTATTGAATTCGAATTTCGAATTATTCATGAAAATAAAAATGTATACTTTTAGAATTTTACTCATTTTTAAATATGGAGTGGACGCTTAAAGAAGACCGTGTTGCAGTTATTGCGTTGCATCGTTGCGGTTACGCGCCAATTCAAATTTTTAACATACTGAAAAATTTGAATATAACCAAAAGATTCGTTTATCGTACCATCAAACGATACAATGAAGACTCTAGTGTAGATGACAGGTCAAGAAGTGGTCGCCCTCGGTCTGTTAGGACTCCAGCAGTGATAAAAGCTGTGAAGGCGCGAATTCAAAGAAATCCCAAACGTAAGCAGAAACTGTTGGCCCTTCAGATGGGGTTAAGCAGAACCACGGTGAAAAGGGTGTTAAATGAAGACTTAGGGCTTCGGGCATATCGAAGAAAAACAGGACATCGTTTGAATGCTCGTCTAATGGACCTGAGACTGAAGAGATGCCGCGCTTTGTTGAAGCGGTACGCGGGAAAAAAATATCGGGAAATTCTTTTTTCGGATGAAAAAATTTTTACCGTAGAAGAGAGCTACAACAAACAAAATGATAAGGTGTACGCACACAGTAGTGAAGAAGCGAGCAACCGTATTCCGCGTGTCCAACGAGGTCATTTTCCATCCTCGCTCATGGTATGGTTGGGAGTTTCTTATTGGGGCTTAACAGAGGTACATTTTTGTGAGAAAGGTGTAAAAACGAATGCAGTTGTGTATCAAAATACAGTCCTGACGAACCTTGTGGAACCTGTTTCTCATACCATGTTCAATAACAGGCACTGGGTATTCCAACAAGATTCGGCGCCAGCTCATAGAGCGAAGAGCACACAAGACTGGCTGGCGGCGCGTGAAATCGACTTCATCCGGCACGAAGACTGGCCCTCCTCCAGTCCAGATTTGAATCCGTTAGATTACAAGATATGGCAACACTTGGAGGAAAAGGCGTGCTCAAAGCCTCATCCCAATTTGGAGTCACTCAAGACATCCTTGATTAAGGCAGCCGCCGATATTGACATGAACCTCGTTCGTGCTGCGATAGACGACTGGCCGCGCAGATTGAAGGCCTGTATTCAAAATCACGGAGGTCATTTTGAATAAACTTTAGTGCAATAAGAATCTATGTTTTGTTAAATTCATTTTGGTATATGAATGGTTACATAATGAATAAACTTGTTTCAATTATTTTACATTAAACATGTGACAGAATTTATGACCTGACTAGGTATATATGTGTATATATATATATATGCGTGCTATTATTACGCTTTTATTAGCTTCAGACGTATGTATGTATATTTGTAACGGAATCTTTGAACATGATTTTGACCCCCTTCAAAACGTCGGATTAACCCGAAATTTGGTATACTTATTAAGGACCGATGACAATTCAATATTAAAAAAAAAAATTAAAAGCAAAAATTTGGAAAAATTGAAATTCCACTAAAAAATGAAAAATAAGTAATAGTTTAAAAAAATTAACAAAATACGCTTTCATAGAAAATCCAACTAAAAAATAGAAAATAAATTTTACCACGCTATTTTACAATAAAATCATTTTTTCTTACACTATTTTTAATTCCAATTTATTAAAATTTATTTTCTATTTTTTAATTGAATTTTCTATAAAAGCGTATTTTATTAGTTTTTTAAACTATTATTTATTTAAAAAATGTCAAATATAAATTGGATGTAAAACATTGACGATTAATAATAAAGATTGAATGTAGGGCGCGGCCTTTTTATCTCCACTGTGTTAGTAGAATATATTGTATAATAATATTGTTTAGAATTAGAATTTTTATGTCACATTAATTGAAAATTTATTTGTATTTGTATTGTGGAGTAAATAAATGCAATTATTATTAATTTTAGTGTGTGAAGTTCCACCCGAACGAGTGTTACATAGCGTCTGGCGGCGCGGACCGCAGCGTGCGGCTGTGGAGCGTGTGCGACGGCCGGCTCGCACGCGTCCTGTGCGCACACCGCGCGCCGGTGCGGGCGCTCGCCTTCGCACCCAGCGGAGCCTACCTAGCCACTGCCGGTACTCGCATCTACTTCTTTTTATCTAGTTTTTGACTCTGGCATAGTTTGTGCTAATGGCTAATGCCAGTGTTAAGTAATTTTAAAGTAAAGATTTTTATAATTCGCCGTTTTCATTACATATTTACATTTTATGAATATAATAATAAAAAAACGAAGGAAACTTTATCAATTGACATGAAATTAAATGAAATGAGATGAGATGATATGGGATGTAATATAATCTTAGCAAAATGGTCGTCATTTACTGAGACTTTTTCAGTGGACTTTTTGGAGGATCCCGAGAAGTTACGTTCAGTGGCTTTGTTTCGTTTTCCCACATTTGTGCACTTTCACAGATACTAAACAGTTAATAAACCACCGTTATTACACATTTAAACCCGAAGAAACACTAAATAGACAAAAGAAAACAATTAACACAACTTCACTCCTCGCGTTCCCGCCAAAAAGTCCACTCGCATCCTCTTTGCGGCTTTATATCCAATCTATATTTCCTACCAGTATAGAAAACTAAAGAAAAATCTGGCCTGTGGCATGTTAAAGGCGGTCTGCGCACATTTAGCATGCCTAATTAATTAAGTATGTACATGTGTATATATAGGGTTTTTGGGATTGTGACACTTTAATAATCTTTTAGTATATTTAATACTCTTCATTACATACTAGCAAAATTATTTCAACTCTCTACTCGGGTTGATTTAAAACAAGTCGTATACTCATGGGGGGCTGGGTGTGGTAAGAACTAATAACCTGCCCATTACTGGCACAGAACAAGCATTCCTTAAATTAAAATAATTAGGATAATTCGAACCAATTCCTTAAAAACTCCTACCAGTTTCTCTCAAGATGGTCAACCTTCTGTAGTGTATACGGACTTCAAAATCCAATTAAAACTAGGTGTTGTATGCTGGTTTATGCTTAAAAAACTCCAAACGACACGTCGGTGACGATCGATGGAGTATCACGCATTACTAACGCACAGTATCTACGTTCCCTGTCCTAAAATATATTACACTCTTTCTGCCGCTAACCAATTATGTGCCCAGAACATATTTGAAGGATGGCACAGCCATTAAACAATACAATAGACACTTTGAGCTTAATTCTCACGGTCGATGGCAGAATTCCCGTTGCGATGCTTCTGGATTCCAATAACAACATAACCCCAAGGGGGCTGAATTATTTTCACAAATACGAACGATACTCGTTCTTATATCGAAGAGTGATAAATTCCCGATAGAAAAGTATTTATCATCCGAACTAAAGTCGTATTTTAATCTGCAGGAGACGATAAAAAAATTAAAGTGTGGGACTTAGCAGCAGGAACTTGCGTGCAAGAGTACAAAGGACACCATGGTAAAATAATGTCACTGGATTGGTCTTCGGTCGGAAAACCCAGCCTGACAAACAGAGTAATGGCAGAACCTAATGAATTATCAACGGAAAACTCTCTACTCTGTTCAGCTGGAATGGATGGAATTGTGAAAGTTTTTCATGATTGTCAGACTAAAAATAAGTATGTCACATTAACATAATTATTATTAAATACCTATCGTAATTTTTATTTTTATTTTTTTATTGGTTAGATGAGTGGACGAGCTCACAGCCCACCTGGTGTTAAGTGGTTACTGGAGCCCATAGACATATACAATGTAAATGCGCCACCCACCTTGAGGTATAAGTTCTAAGGTCTCAGTATAGTTACTACGGCTGCCCCACCCTTCAAACCGAAACGCATTACTGCTTCACGGCAGAAATAGGCAGGGTGGTGGTAGGTACATACTAGTGCGGACTCACAAGAGGTCCTACCACCAGTAATTACGCAAATTATAATTTTGCGGGTTTTGATTTTTATTACACGATGTTATTCCTTCACTGTGGAAGTCAATCGTGAACATCTGTTGTGTACGTATTTCATTAAAAATTTTTATACCCGCCTGGGTTTCAAACACCGATGCATTGCTCAACACGAATGCACCGGACGTCTTATACTTTAGGTCACGACGACCACTTAACACCAGGTGGGATGTGAGCTCGTCCACAAAACTATGGAATAAAAAAATATATATATATTCTAAACTTTTATAAAAGGTCTAGTTCCAATCATATAAAGCTTGCTTTTTTTATAATATGGTTACAGTATGTCTAATTACTAATTATTCAGTACTGAAAGTCATTTTCACTCTGCTCCATATTTAATTAAAATATATCAAATAAAAATATATAAATATGTAATTTATTACACAGAAAATTTAAAAGTTGAAATTATTTGTACTTTGCTGACAAGTTTTTTTAAGTGGTGTTGATTTCCTTTATTTTATTCCTCAGGCCAACCTCGAGTCAAGATATTTTAACATCAACTTATAATACGAAATGCACCTATTTGGTGGATGTACAAGTGCATCCTGAATGGGTTGTTGCGATTGGAACCAAGCAATGATGTACTTTTAATGATTATGTAATTAATAAAATGTAAGACTATTGTTATTTTGTTTATTTTTCTTTCTTTTAAATTCTACATTATAACAACGATTTCACCTACTCAATCTCATAAGTACATGAATACAAGCAGAATATCTTACACACAAGCACTATTGGATGTTTTTAAGTACAACAAACAGGGGCCCTTGTTGGCTGTGATAGATGGCAGACAATGGGGGATACACTGTTTATTAAAATCGTGTGACATTAAGGCATTATCATTGGAAAATTCGTAAATTGAAAGAAAACTGTAATATATAATTAATTACTTTATTGGAACCTGATTACAGACTTCTCTCTCTACTATGCTTTCCATAATAGCTATGTATACAATACAGTTTGAAATAATGTGTGGCTTCTAATCTACTACAGCATAATTATGGCAAATCAACACATAATATAACACAACCAACTGTAGCAGCATTTATTTTTTATTGCTTAGATGGGTGGACGAGTTCACAGCCCACCTGTTGTTAAGTGGTTACTGGAGCCCATAGACATCCACAACGTAAATGCGCCACCCAACTTGAGATATAAGTTCTAAGGTCTCAAGTATAGTTACAACGGCTGCCCCACCCTTCAAACCGAAACGCATTACTGCTTCACGGTAGAAATAGGCAGGGCGGTGGTACCCACCCTCGCGGACTCACAAGAGGTCCTACCACCAGTAAAAATAGTATACCAACATAGCTTCATGAGCAGATAACACTGTAAAATTGCACGTCAAATTATAAATTTTTACTTGTAGTTGAATAGAGACACACCAATATGAGTTTATGCTGGCCATTTTATACATACCACACAGGCATGCAGTGTGAATGAATTCAGTAAAGTTAATGACATAAAACAAGTGTAATAAGTTCTTAAAGAATCCTTCCATCCACAGAATTACAGGCTATACAGTTATATAGCGTAACTGTAATAAATTCAAGGGTGCAAAGATTCGAAAACATAATATCAAAATGTATAAAAATAATGATGTTACAATCATCTACATTATCTGATTCAGATCACATTCCATAATCCTTAACAAAGCTGTCAAACATTTTTTTTTTTGGGATTGAAAGATTACTTTTCTCTCGGAGGCTTTCCTAGTTTCACCAGGATAGGTAGGTAAGCAAGGGCTCAGCCAGGAGGGATCAAACTATATCTGTACAAAAATATGTTATGTCGGTATGTGCCATATTTTTTTTGTTTAATATTTGGTTTACAACTGTTGGAAATTATTGGCATGAAATAATGAAATTAATGACTGGTAAGTATTAGCAATCCTAACTTGCTGTTCAAAGTCAGACCATCATCACTATCAATAAGATTCAAATTTTGCTACTTATACTTTTGTTGTTGTCATTTTTTTGTATAAAAGTGGAACTTGTAAAAATTTTCCTGATTGTTTTTAATGATAACAATATTACAAAAGCTCATCACTAGTTACTAAATTAAAAAAAGGAAATTTTCAGTGTAACTGGGAAAATATTGCGCTGAACTGATTTATCTTTCTTTTTAATATAAATACTGAGTATTTGATAGCAGAATTATCTCAACCTTGTCTTCCCTATTTCCATTTACCTAAACAAACTTTAGAAATTATAATGCCAACTGCGCTTATTGAAGGTTAACCTATTACATTCTGTAAGTATATAAATGTACGTAGAGAATTGGATCCTTATTAAAACAATTGAACTGGCATCCACTATATCTTGATGGTATAATTATTTTATTCCATGATTTGGTTACATAGGATGGTATTTAATTTGGTACTTTTTTAAAGAAGTTCATCATGGTTGGTTGTTTATGTTTTTGTGATGGAGAAGACTTTTTTTTTGATTGCTTTATTGGCACATTTTTCAGAGCAGTGGTTTCAACGGTGACTTGTTTTTTAATATCAACATTCTCTTTTGTATGCACTTCATCATCTGAACAACTCTCATAAATTTCTTCTTTTTTGGTTAACATAAATCCTTCTTCATCTGTATAAGTTTTATCTATGATTTTTCTCCTCTTTTTTGCATTAACAAGCCCAGGTGTTATGTTGACAATGGTAGCTGATGGAGTTGGTGGAATTTCATCTTCAGATTCACGTTCCAAAGTAATTTCATCTGCCAATGAATCTGATTTTTCACAATCACTATCACTATCAGAAACATGCAATACTCTTTTGCGTTTCTTTCCAAAAGAATTCCCCTGGTTAGTTTTTTTATTTCTTACTTTAACTTCAATATCTATTTTCTCCACTTTGATGTCTTTTTTTTGAGTTGATGCTTCATTTTTTTGTGCGATTATACTATTTACTGACTTCTTCTCTGTCAATTTAATTTCAGTTCCATTGGTTTTAGAGCTATCATCAATGTTTGTTTCTTCTCTATCTAATTTTTTTGTTATTTTTGTTTTGTTTTCAATATCTCCCTTATCTTTCTTGCTAATATCCATTTTAACATTTGGTGTTTTTGATAAAAATCCCATTATACTCCCATTAGACTTTCCATTACTTTTTTTATCAAGAGATTTATTGTTAGTAACAGAATTGTATTTTGGTGATGGAATTTCAGATTTTACAGGATCTGTTTTCTTATCATGATCTTTAATAGTTTTCACTTCATTCTGTGTATTGTGATTTTCTTCTTTAATACTGTTTTTCAAATCTTTCTTTATGGAGTTTTTCAGATTTTTCTCGGGTACTTCCTGGCTCTTAAATTTTAAAGTGCCTATTTCTTCATAAGATCTCTTTGAACAAATATTGTTTTTGACTGTACCTTTACACAACAAATAATCTTCGAAGGTGTTTATAGCTATAAATGCTGATTTATCTATACTTGTACGATGGCCGTAGCATACACTATAAATATGCTCAAAGAATATTGTACTGAATTTGTCTTTCACACTTACTAATTCTTCTTCTAGTACAAGAATAGTTAGAAGTTTATTGTTTTTTAAGGATCCCGAGATAATGTAGCTGACTGAAAGAGCAACATTCGGCTTGTTCTTTCTCAATTCATCAACAAATTCTCTCAAAAATATTTTCGCCTTATTTACATGAATGCACAATTCTTTACTAATGGATGTGTATGTCACTAAACGCCGCTCATCTAAGATTATGTTCTTTATAGAATTTAAGCTCTCTGACTTATTTTCATCCATTTTAAATACAAATTCATTCAAATAGTAAACAGTTAAATAAAAGTTATCAATTCTTTTCTGAACTCTGAAGTTTTTTTTTTTTTAAGAGATTTTATGACCTGGTAACTAAGACCTTTAAGTCATGTCTTATTTTACTTTAAATTCTTAATTTTATGAAAAATGATAATATGGAGTGAAATGAAATGAAATGATAATTTGAGACATTAATCAACTGGGATGAAATTTAATGAAATGAAATGATATGGGATGAAATATAATCGCAGTAAAATGGTGGTCATTTACTGAGATTTTTTCAGTGGACTTTTTGGAGGAACCCGAGAAGTTACGTCCAGCAGCTTTGTTTCATTTTCCCACATTTGTGCACTTTCACAGATATTAAACAGTTAATAAACCACCATTATTACAAATTTAAACCTGAAGAAACACTAAATAGACAAAATAAAACAAATCACACAACTTCACTGCTCGCGTTCCCGCCAAAAAGTCCTTATACACTTAATATATTGTTCTGACCATAGATTATACACTTAATATATTCGAGTTCTGACTGAAATTCAGTCACTAAATACCGTAAAATGGGGCGATTAGGGATTGAGAGGCGAATCGGGAAAAAACCGAGAAAATCTTTCGACGCTCAATATTAGTTTTATATTCGTTGCAAAATCTTCCATTTTTTGTAGTTTAATAGTAGAATGTTAAAAGTTCACAAAACAACTCTGAATATGCATGATAATAGCTGCTAACTTATAAAAAATCTCGTTTCAATTTAACTTCCTGTGGTGGTAATTATTTTAGTGCTAGAAACTTTGCTCTCTTTTATTTATTTCATAATGATAGAAGACAACTGTGATTTATAAACGTCATTTAGTGTTTGAACCATCATATATATTAAAGGTAAGTCTCAGTTGTTATTGGTTTTAATGTATTTGATAAAATAAAAATACATGTAAAAATCTGATGTTTTTGGGGATATTGGGTACGTCTTAGATACAAATAACAACGAAAAAGGGGTCAATTGGGATGAGAATACGTGAAATGGAAACGACCTAAATATAAATAGGTACAGGTTTGTAGGGTTGTTTATGTAGTTATAACAATATTTTTTAAATTTGTTGGTAAAAATCTGGTTTATTCATGATGTTTTTGTCTAGAACTTTTATTCAAAATTATCAATGTATTATTTTATTGTTTGGTAAATATTTATATTATCAGTTACGTATTGTTTACTATTTTTAGATATGCCTCGCGTGTACGTATCAAAGAGTACAAAGCCTTATAAGAGATATGATCCCTTAATATTAAAAACAGCAATAGAAGCCTATGAAATTGGGAATAAGTCTTTATTTGAAACAGCTAAGCAATTTAATATAAGTAAGTCGATTTTGCACAGACATGTAACAAGAACAATGAAATCTCAAGGTGGACAAAAATGTCTAAGTAATACATAGTAAAATATTTAATATTTGTTCAGAGTGGGGGTATTCATGTGATTAATCCTTGGAATAACCGACACACCTAATCTCTTAACCCAGATAAAAATATCAGCCCCTAAGTACTTACCAAGAACGAAGAAATATAAACCGTTTATAGGAAAGCCCACTCGTTCGAATTTAGGTGCTTACTCTCCTTTGAGACTACAATAATGTCCACGGTAGCGTGGTCTCCGTCAATGTTCATTCGGAGTTGTTCGATTGCGCTGAACTAATTTTAAGTGATGTAATAGATGTTTTTTTTAATTGTCTCACAACTTACAGGACAAATCTGTCGCGGATCATTTCCCAAGTAAATATAAATTAATCATAAGTAAATAAATGTAATCAAGTTGATGATCACTTTGTTGGTGCAACTAAATAAATAAATAAATAAAAACCAGGTAGTGGCAACCCTAGCAAATTTCTCATTTCGTCCCAATTAACCGCAATATCCGGGTAAATAGGGATTACACCTATTTTTGCTTTTTTTGCTTAAACTGGAATGCTAGTTGCATAGCTTTAAATTGGACAACAAAGTTGCCCCCAAGACTCAATAATTTTGATCCTGATATTGCATTATATACATTAACAACTACCTTAAAATTGGTCATAAAGTTGGAATTTGTCCCTAATCGCCCCATTTTACCGGTACTTCTGAAGTTCTCTCAACATTAACCTTTTTTTAAGGGATTTTTTGACCTGGTAACTAAGACCTGTAGGTCAACATAATTTAGTATAAATTCTTATGTTTATGGAAAATGATAATAATATGAAGTGAAATGAAATGAAGTTGATTAATATAAAACATGGTATGGCACGAAATGAAACGATATAAGATGATATGAGATGAAATATAATCTCGGTAAAATGGTGTTCATTTACTGAGACGTTTTCAGTGGACTTTTTGGAGGATCCCGAGAAGCTACGTCTAGCGGCTTTGTTTCATTTTTCCACATTTGTGCCCTTTCACAGATATTAAACAGTTAATAAACCACCGTTATTACACATTTAAATCTGAAGAAACACTAAAATAGACAAAATAAAACAAATCACACAACTCCACTCCTCGCCTTCCCGCCGAAAAGTTTTTTTTTTTTTCTTCCTTACATGGTTAGATGAGCTCACAGCTTACTTGGTATTAAGTGGTTACTGAAGCCCATAAATAGGTATCTATAACGTAAATGCGCCACCCACCAACAACCACCTTGAGATATAAGTCTAAGTTCTCAAGTATAGTTATAGCGGCTGCCCAACCCTTCAAACCGAAACGCATTACTACTTCACGGCAGAAGTAGGCAGGGTGGTGGTACCTATCCGCACGGACTCACAAGAGGTCCTACCACCATAGGCATAGTCTAAAAGTCCAGATAATATACTATTAATATTTAAGACACAGACTAAATAGTTTTTACCTATGTAAGTAGTAATGTTCAGATATAAACATTAAAATAGTACGCAAGAACTATGTACATCGACATAAAAAACTCACTTTCAACCATGTGTTCTCTTTCGCTTTACATTTAGGTTTACACTTTTTTTTCACCTAACATGCAGTTGAGCTCACGGGGCTCAAGCCTGATGACGTTGCTAACACGAAACCCTAGCAAGAGCCGTACTTCGCAGAATCTACCACCGGATCGGAAATGCGACTCACTGAGAAGATCCGGCGAGAAACTCAGTGGGCTGTGTCTGTGGGTTAATTTACCTGACGGGTTCGACTCGATATGTCTATAATTTCAAAGTAAATTTTTAAACATCCTGAGTCTAGTACCTGCCTATATTTGATTAGTCTGTACTCTAGTCCACAACCCCGTGATATTTAGCTTCTTTGATTATCTATGGTTTTGTTTTTGGTATGAATTTAATCATATGACATTGTGATTGTGACAGTCAGTCATTTATTGTCGAGGAAAATGGCTGCAGCTATGGTATCTGTATGGGTTTTCTTAATCTCTTCAATAATAGGTAAGATTGATTTTCATTTGGGATTAGCATTACCACTAATATTTTTCTCTATTGTATAACTAGAAACTTTTTTTAGGTATCAATGCCTCTGGCGAACTAAACATCCTCCATAGTCCTGAGTCGTTAAGTTTCTCTGGTTCCAGTAAAACTTTCGAGAGTCTTTTAAAAGAAATATTTTCTGCTTCTCTTGGCCTTTCCGTTGAAGAGGTAAACGTGTTTATTGTACATTATTTTACCACATATAAGCAATTATTGATTAAATATATGAACTGTATTACAAATACATTTTATTGTAGAACTCCGAATGGAATGGATTATTGATAACTGATCCGTTCAATACTCCTGAAGCAGTTGTCGAAGTTTACATTAGTGGCATATCCAGTCTGGGGAGTTCCGTGAGTATACTGTCATTAACTTTATATCACATGCTTTAATACACAAACAATTAGAACACATCTATGACTAGCTTTAAGTAATAACTAAGTTATAACTAGAAGTAAGAGGAATAGTTAAATGTGCGATTGTAAATTCGATGAACCCACTCACTATGAACTGATGAAACACCATTTCATTTCAGGCTGATTTTAAATCCAAAAAGTATCCTTTAGTTGTAGATGAGTATGAACCTGATACTTTTGATGTATTAAAACACAGAATCAATCAACGTTTTACCAATGGGGGCAATAAGCTTGTGAACATCAATTTAAGTGACTCTGATCAGGTATAGTAAAAATACTATATTTAAAAAAAGAAAAATGTTACTGTTTTAATGAGTAAGTAAATAACACTTCATCATTATTACTTTTCAGCTTTTGTCATATTCAAATGTGCTAGGGGATTTAGATATTCCAAAAGTTAAAAAACAGTCCTTGCAGCACTTAAAATCTTCAGTTGAAGAAGACTTCCAATTTCTAAGTGAGCTTGCAGCCTTAAAAGCTGTCACAGAAAAGGTTTGTGAACTCAATTTTATATTTTGTATAAATCAATAAATTCTAAACAGTATTTTCTTTCTATGAATCCTCTGTTGGTTATTCTCTTCAACATTAATCACAGCTCCTCTAAGAAGTCTGTAAGTCTCTTTGAATTGCCAACCATCTTGAACTGGGATGGGATCTAGTGCAACACTTGAAGAGATTTTATAAGTATTCAGCTCTTGAAAAGTTAGGTCAGCTGGCTGGGCAATCCCCGGGCAATATTCAATATATTGTCTGAAATGTTAATCTCTTATGTATTTGAGTAGCAAATTAGCAGCTATCATGTCATCTGCAATTTAGGCTCTCCAGTGTTCCTAATTATTTTGTTTAATGATAAACTCAAACAGAAAAGGAAATGTATTATTTTAACTAAAATTCTTTGACATGATAACAGCTATCATGTCAACTGCAATGTATACTCTCCCTTATAAATATTCTCCATTAATTATTTCATTTAGTGATAAATTCAAGCACAAAAGGATATGTATTATATTAACTTAAATTCTTTGACATGACTTATTGAATTGAACTGAATAGATTGCCTTTTTTGTATTCTTACTTTGTGTATAAGTTTGTAGGATGTGGGGCATCAGCTGTTTTTTGTGATCTATGATTACCCCATAATGTGAACAACAAAATATAGGCTTCTCAAAACTATGAATAATCAATATTTGTGTTATAAATATTGTTTTAACACATTATACAAAGTATTGTTATCTCTTTTATTACAATGGTATTATCACTGCTTAGGCTCTGTGATTGGTTAACTTATAAACTGTGAGGCATATTACAAAAATAAAATGAGTAAATGAAACCCAACTTTATATAAGGTTTAATTTTTTTTTATACTGTAAATAAATACAAATATTTATATTTTAAGGTGGAGTCTGGTGCTATCAGCGCAGATAATATCATCGACTTTTACAACTTACGAATCAATTCTTTGCATGCACTACGTGATTTCCATGGTCCTAACTCGTTACAAACTAAGGAAGCTAAAAAGTTACTGGGTCAGTTACTATTAATTACTATTTTATATAGATGTATACCTATAAGATATTTACTAAAAAAAGAATAAAGTTAGCTCACAAATCATAATTAGAATATAAGATGTTATTCATATATACAACACCTAAATATAGTGGTCCAAAATTATTAAAAAAATAAGTTTCAATATAATTTAAAGTTTAACAATTTTTACCGAAAATTACTTGTTTGATAGTATCAGCATTACTTAGTATGTCTTACCAGACTTTAGATACTGTTTCACCTTGTAGTAAACTAAATTTTAGAAATCATTTGGCTGCATCTCTAATTACTGATACTAACATCATTCTCCTTTAAATAGTATTTTGATGGACTTCTTTGCTGAATTAACAATTACAACAATAATTTAAAACTGAAATGTTAAAATTCTGCCACACTTTAGGTGAAGCACTTGAAGAATTAACAAAGGCGTTTGTAAAAGCATATGATGGTTCAGTTTTGGTCACAGCTGTAACAACTGACATTGTCCACACACGCCGTGCTATTCGCTCGGTATCTGGAAATGTCGAACTCAAGAATAGTGTGAGTACATAAACATGAACTCTTAATTGTACTATTATTTTTAATAAAAATAAAATCGGGAATTTGCGCAAAAAGTAAATGAGAAATAACAATAATAATTCAAAAACCATAATTGACAAAAATTTACTAAGTATTTAATCGTTTTTTTTTACGAATTAATTAAATTTGGAACCTTATTTTCTTTTATGTGAAAAAATGTATTTAGTAAGAAACTATTACCTATATTTACGGGACATAAATAACGTATCACACCGCAATCTAAGTAGTCATGTCACGTCATAGTTACTATTCGTTTTAGCCCATTAATAGGGTACACTAAAAAGTAACTGTGCTAGTTCCCCATTCGACCCCTCGCTTAACAATCAACACTCGTTTAATAGATATGTACAATAATTTTTTTGTTTTAAATGATACAATTTAATAGACATTAGTTTAAAAAAAAAAAAATTTGCATTATTACTGTTGGTTCTTACGCAAATTGAATGGACCTTCGCCGGAACTTCACCAGCAATATGTAATTAAAAATATGAATATCTTCTTTTCATACCTTTTATAACAGATATTGAATTTAGTTGAAAATAAGTTTCAGATCATTTATCTAACTTTTAAATTTCACTAAAACGTGGTAATATCCTATTTAAAAGCATTAAAAAAATTCAAATCTAATTTATTAATAATGTTTTTTACCATTACATGTCAATGAAGTCAAGCAAGCCAACGGTGAGGAAATTTTGTGGGTGTAGAGACATATTATGTAGTTTAGAAGAATAAGAATTGTAATTAGAATTTTTTAGTAACAATGACATTAAGAAAGTTAGAAAACATAAAACTATAGCTCCATGGTATAATGTAGTACAAACAGGTGAAAAACTACATAACAATTTAATGTCATACCATTTCAATTTAGATATCATTAACAAACATATTTTAACATGAATAGTTGACTTATTCAATTTACTTTCGTCAGTATAACTAGTAGTGAGATACTTATTATTATTTCCTGTAGTATCATAAAACATTGCTTTCAATTTGTTGTGTCATAAAGTAGTATAATCAATCATAAGTTCTCTTTAAACCTGGATTGCAAATTAAATACGTAAAATAGCTGTTCAAAAATTGTAAAAAGGGACAAATAACCCCCCCTCCCCCCATAAGTTGGGGGACTATTACTCCCTTTCCACTACAAACACTTTAGAGTTACAAAACTAATAACACTTTAATCTCTACAAGACAGCTTAGAGTTCACAACACAAAGGTACTTCACGTCTTATAAATATCTACAAAAGAAAGTATTGACGGCAAAAATTCTAATAGGTTTTATTGATTAAATCTTCAATACTTCCGTTAGTTTTCCTTTTTATTGCTCTCTCACAGCCAAATTTTTATGGTAACAGACATTAAAAATAAAGGTGACGTACATACATTAAACTGAGAATTTCATTTTAATTTCAGGTCGATGAAGATGGTTACTCAGCTGATTATGCTGCTATATTCAACATCATCCTGTGGTTCGGTGTAGTATTCACCTTTACCTTGATCGCCATAGTATACGCCCTAATGGATATGGACCCCGGCAGGGACTCCATTATCTATCGTATGACCAACACTAGGATGAAGAAAGACAACTAAAGTCTTCAGCTTCAGCGCTCGCAGATTAGAACTTAGTGCAATATTTATTTCTATATAAGTTCTATGGATGTTTTTTTGCCAAAAGACACTTTCGATCAGTATTGTCACATTCTAGTTTTGTTTTTCATTTTACAATAAATTAGCATTCCCACGAAGCGGACCTACAAAATAATATTACCGATTTCATGATATCGCCAGACATGAAGCTTGGCTGCGCTGAAGTGATGATGAGGAGCGGAAGCGTTGCACTTGCTACTGTGTATGACAAGTTAGGGCGACTAATGTTCGGATACTGTTATTTGCACGGATTATTCTATTTAGTATTTCACTATAACTATATAAAACATAATTTGTTTCGGTGTGAAGATAGTAAGATAGGCATGCTGAATACTCTGATTTTAACGGGAGTAATTGTCATCCTCTGGTCGCGGTTGCTCGTCATAAATCCTGAACGCTCCAATATGGCCACTCCACTCCTTTCTTATTCATTTTCACGCAGGTGTAAGACAGATCGCGCCAGAATAGCTTGTCTATACGTATACATAGAGTAATAAGTGTATAATTGTTATAACTTAATTGTGTGCAAATATAATGTTATGTTGTCCAATTAAATGTTGTTCCAGAATACAAATTTCTTTTATTTAAGCTTTATTATTGCCTGCAGCAGCTTAACTCTTTTACATCCTGAAAATTACTATTTCTGGAGAATATTACATATTTGCAAATTAAGTGAAAAAAATAAATATAAGCTACATAGGTACTATTCATGATTTACCAAGTAACTTTATCGGTTTATAGAATACCAGTGTCATTAGACATCAAAATTAACGATGAAATAATCATAGAGCATCCTTACGCAACAAATAATTACAAATTACATACATGCGTAGCATTGCCAGATTGGTGTTTAAGCAGTGGTGATATAATGTAATTATATAATTGTATAATTTAAAATACAAATCTATCCTAATATTGTAATTTTGGAAGTGTGTTTGTTTGTTTCTGAATCACACAAAAATGAATGAAAAAGTTTGGTTGACATTTCGAATAAGCATCATTACATAGTATAAAACAAAGTCGCTTTCTCTGTCCCTTTAACTGTCTGTCCTTATGTATGCTTAAATCGTGTATATAATCAAAGGCTTAAGTCTTTAAAACTACGCAACGGATTTTGATGTGGTTTTTTTTAATAGATAGAATGATTGAAGAGGAAGTTTTATAATTATAATAACATCCATTAAATAGTGGAGAAATCAATAATAAATTACAGTTTCCGAAACGAAGCGAGGGCGGGTCGCTAGTAGTTTATAACTTGAATGTACAGGAAGAATACTTTTACCATGGTAAATTATGACCCGGATAACAGTCGGTATATCTGTTATAATAAATACGTCCGTGCATTCGCTGGCGGGACTGATGGTAGTTTGTGGACGAGAGTGACACAAGAAAATTCTTTTTTTAAGCTACAGTTTTAAAGTAAACCGGACTCTGCGGTGTTCTTCTATTACGGAAATCGCGAATAAATGATAAAGATATAAGAGTATAATTTTAAACAAAACTAAGTAACTAAGTAACCTTGGACTCAATTCGATTGATAAAACATCTAAATGGTTCTCGATGATTACCGGTGTCAGGCACGAAACAATTTAAACACCTCAACTCATATTATCCGACCCAGGCGAAGGAGATTGCAAAGCCGCCGTCGCACGAAACATGTCCTGTCGAGTCCCCCGGATCGGAAAAAGAACTTATATTTGTCAACTCATATTCATTGAATGCGAGAGGTAGTCACCGAGAATGATGGAAGGTTATTGAAAGAATCTACTGGACTTTTTTCATTTGTCTCCATATAGAGGATATTTAAGTCGTCGTGGCCTAAAGGGTAAGACGTCCGGTGCATTCGTATCTAGCGATGCAACGGTGTTCGAATCCCGCAGGCGGATACCAATTTTTCTAATGAAATATGTACTTAACGAATGTTCACGATTGACTTCACAGTGAAGGAAAATAACATCGTGTGATAAAAAATAAACCCACAAAATTATAAGTTGCGTAATTACTAGTGGTAGGACCTATTGTGAGTTCTCAAGGTGGGTGGTACATTTAGTTTTAGATGACTATGTCCTCCAGTAACCATTTAACACTAGGTGTGCTATGAGCTCGTCCACCAATCTAAACAATAAAAAAAAAACGTGTGGCACTCGGGAACTGCCGCGGTAAAGCTATTGCATAGCATTTTTTATCAACTTATGCAATTATAATTAGACAATGATAATTTAATATTAAAACAAGACCACGCTATATTAAACATTAAAAAAAGCTATGCAATAGCTTAAAAAAAGAATCTCGTATTGTGGATAATCAGCGTTGTTCGATTTATCGACCTTGAACAGCCTTAGCTGAGCCACCTCCTTTTGTCTTTTTTTTTATTTTTATTTTTCTTGTATTTTATTTTTATTATTACCCTTTTGTTTGCTGTTTATCGACCTTGAACAGCCTTAGCTGAGCCACCTCCTTTTGTCTTTTTTTTTATTTTAATTTTTCTTGTATTTTATTTTTATTATTACCCTTTTGTTTGCTGTTTATCGACCTTGAACAGCCTTAGCTGAGCCACCTCCTTTTGTCTTTTTTTTTATTTTTATTTTTCTTGTATTTTATTTTTATTATTACCCTTTTGTTTGCTGATGTTCATGAGCATCAACGACCACTTATAAGATGACAATATGGCCATCTATGTGCATAATGCGAGTTTTTTAACGTTTTTGATAGCATAAAAGGTAACAAAATTTGCCGCTAGGGACAAACGTTCCAAGTCCATACTAATTACATGCGAGAACGTCAAAAAAGTCGCACTAAACACGCTGTCTATAACAAAATAAATTACAAAAGGAATAAATTACAAATTAGAATCTTAAAATCAAAACTTCCCAAAATCTTGATTTTGTATTTGGTAACTTGACGAAACCCTAATCCCGTGCATTGTACAATAATCAAAAGAATAACGTGTTAGTAAAAAACTTTATTTGGTGTTACATAAATATTTAGATCTAAATTAAATTATAATATATCTGTATTATACATTAAAAGGGTTAAAAGCAATATTACAAAGGGTGCGAAACAAGTTTTCTTTTTTCTTTTAAATCATAATTTTCGTCTAATGTAAGGCATGCTAAAAACGTGACATTAATATACAATGCAGTAGCATATTATAGTCAAAAGTAGCATTCTTCAAAATGGAATGAATATAATTTTTTGAAATGTATTTATCATTTCAGAGGGTTTTTCAAATATCATTTATATCGGTCTGATTATCATTGTTATTGTCCTGGCTAAGATAATCTTATATAATTAATATTAAAAAATAATTAGATTCAAATTCATCATTTTGACCACACATTTGCTGTAATATTCAGTTCAATTGGTTTATAAAAATCATCGAAAATTTATATTAATAATCTTTATATAGTGTACAATATCTACAGATTTGTTTCCGTTTTGGCTTATGAAGCCAAGCCTTTTGAGTTCATTAATATAAATAGTTAACTTAGAAATAGTTCTACGGTTATATTTTGTGCTTTTAAATTCAGGTTCACGTGACTAAACTGATATTTTGACTTAATTAAAAACAAAGTTTACGAGCATATTCAACAGATACATTTTATTGCCAATAGAGTTAAATCGACTTATAGCTCATCTGATCGTAAATAAATAAGAGCGACTTCAAAATAAGATTTTTAAAAGAGTCAAATCAATAAATAAATCGTTTGCACTTGAACAAAATAGCGAACGTGTCAATGATCAGTGTGAGTAAAGACAACATTCATAATCATTATATTTTGTATGGTATAAAATAATTAATTATTACATTTTACACTTAATATATTACATTAATAAGTTTAGTTGTTACATAGTAGGTACTTCAAGGCACAAATGGCAAGTGCATACTACATTTATTATATTTTTAAATTTGTTAGTTAATTATGTTAAAAAAATGTGAACACCGACATTACTGTGGTATAGTGGTTTAGTATAGTATAGACCAGTGATGGGCAAAGTACGGCCCGCGAAAGTATTTTAATCCGGCCCCCCGAGAGTCCGTCATCCCAAATATTCTAGTCAGCATTTTGGCGCGTAAAATAAAATCTGACGTTTATAATTGAAAATCTTCGAATTTTTCAAAACACCCCTCAAAACACCCCTGACGAATTGGAGCTTTCATTATCTCATTTATTGGAGAAAAAAAAAACATTTTTCTGGCCCTCCTCTAGTATTTCCTAAACATTGTGGCCGCCATTAAAAATGTTTGCCCACCACTGGTATAGACAGATTAATGTCGTTTATTCCTTGTATTTTTCGTTAACGGCGGACCGTGTAGTGATGAGCCCGACGTAGCCGACGTCGTAGTTCAGCCGGGAACTTCTCGTAGCAGCGTCTACAGGCGGGCCTCTCGTCGTATTCGTAGAACTTGCTACGCGTGCTCAGCGGCGCATCGCAAACGGAACACGCAAAATGATGTACGCACCAAGCCTTGTTCAATGCGGTGAATACTACGAATAAAATTACAGTTATTAAGAAAAAAAAATGGTATATTAAATAAGATATTTTTGATTCGACCAGTTTGTGTTATTGAAGTAGCAATCAGTAGTACAACACAATAAGTTACATATTATGTGTAACATGTTACTTGTGATATATAACCTATATTATATTCACATTAAAACCTTCATAATTATAATACATACTAGCACACAAATTTTTAAGAAGTTAAGAATATATTCATTCGATAATATAAAAAAATCAGCTAAATAAGCAAGATATAATTTCAAATCACACTGAATATAATTAGTTTTTAAGTGAATTGTGATATTATAAAAACGTTTATGATTATTAACCAATAACACAAATATTGTGTTCAAAACTTATTTTGTGCAACAGCTATGAGTAGAAATCTTTCCCGTTTTTTTACCACTTATGCTGGTAATCTCGTGAGGTTATGTCAGCTTAACTGTGCGAATAGGTGCTCTAACCTGACGACATTGCTTCGCAAAATCTACCACCGGATCGGAATCGCGACCCACTGAGAAGATCCGACGAGAAACTCAGTAGGCTTTTTCCAGTATTAGCCCGCACGATATTAAAGCATTATTAAACTTAGTTAAAAAACAAAGATTTTTATTAAATTTAACTATTGCGTGTACTCCACTTGGCCATTTTCGATTGTTTTCTTTATTAAAAATTATATTTATTAACACAACTTACTTATTACGCAGAACAGTGTACTTAAACGATAAACCAATACAATACAGACAATTATGAAACCTCATCATATCACATGCCGAAATCATTAAATTTTAAATGAAATAATCGAATAGTTACCGTCGCCGGCGATAACTTGATTACAGACGTAGCACAAATTGCCGAACAACTGGTGATAATGTTGTTCGCAGTAGGCCAAGCCTTTCTTTTCATAATGACGATGGCCGTGAAATGGTTTCTCGCATTTGGCACAAACGAAATGCTGAAAAATTAAATTTTCTTTAAATCATTATTTTTATTGCTTTCGACGCAAACGGAACAGGTAGCAAACGGGTGATGATAACCAGTGGTCGGAATAGGTAGATTGATTTTTTATATACTTGCGTCAAAATATTATAATATAGACTAATATGGAATAATGGATTACTATTATTAATACGTTTTTCAACTTAAACACAGATTCATGCTAATTTCAAAATTCCGGAACGAATATCACAATAAATATGAATTTCCGGTATTTTGGAGGCATATCCATATTATCCGTCAACGATCTTAAATCAATCTACCTACTCCGACCTGTAGTGAAAACCTAATCCATAGATATCGCAATGTGAATTGCGCTACCCCCTTGCAACGTCGAAGTTTCAATTCTATAACTACTACCATACCCTTCCAATCGAAACGCTGGATGGTTTCGCCGCATAGATAGGCAGACCGGTAACACTTATCCGTGTGTGGGCTCCCAATACTGCCGCCGATAATTATGCATATTTGAGTCGTCTATTATCAAAGGCGGCAATCTGTGCATTTGGACAAAAAAAATTTATTGATATGTCAATACAGATTGATTTGAATATAATCGTCTCCTTCAAAGAATACGGTTCAAAACCTGCATTAAATAAAGGTTAATAGTTAACCTGTTATTTATCTAAGATGTCGTTCCGAAGAGTTTTGTGACTGCTAATGGAATACAAAGTCAATAATTCGTTTTTCGGATTTACCAATCATTGTCCAAAAGTCAGATTGCCGGCTTTGATAATAGTCGACTCATTTATAAGATTCTCGGTTTTTGTTAAACACTATATTTTTATTTCATCGTGGAAGTCGCTCAAGTGAGCATGTTAGGTACGTATTTACTTGGAACTAGGCAATGGCAATAACTGATTCGTCGCATCTAAAATCGTTAACTTTATTTATGTAATGTAATTGAGGCTTTAACCTCGTGTCTGAAGTTAGACGCCGAGATTACTATTATGGTGTGTGATTTTCGATAAATACTTGTAATTGATAGGACGTTGTCAACTGGTGCAATGACACATTTGTTTTTCATGCTGAAGCACTCTCTTTTAATGAATTTCGCAAATAGTGAAACTTATGGATTGTAGGAATTGTCGTGTATAAGAAATTTGTAAGTATCGTGATAGCAAATCAATTGATGTTGGGCTATTTGTTCCATTTCACTTTCATACAACAAAAGTGGCTTCAGCCACAACCAAAGATTAGATTCTGAAGTCACTTGGTAATCCCCATAAGTGGCATAAATGCGCAATTTGAATGAAAAATTAGAAGCATACAGTGAAATTTTATATTGGTTTATACATTCATAATATGTGTATATGTATGTTTGTATGTAACGGAATTTTTCAACTTAATTTTCACAGAATTCAAGATGTCCCATTAACTTGAACATGCATCAAAGACCAATGATAATTCAACAATTTTAGGACTTGGCTCTATAAACGTGACCAGCATCGCTAGACTAAAAAGGTTCTGATTTTTATGGTATTTACTGTATTCTATGATACCTACCGCTTCAGAACAATCTTATTGTATCACAAATTGTATGTTTAAATTAATTAGAGCTTACCTCAACATGCCAATGTTTCCCGAGAGCAGTAACGATTCTCTCCTCGATGGGACGTCGGCAAGCACCACAGATTGGAATACCCATTTTATCATGGCAACGAAGACAAAAGAGGTTATTCTGGAATTTTTTTTTTTAATTAAACAATCTTTTTTGTATTTCAATTAGCTCAGATTAAATAAATAAAATACTAAAATGATTGACAGTCAACTTCTAATTAACATTTAAGGAATTAAAAACTAGTTGATAATTTAATTTGCATTAGTTCTTCGGGCACATCACTCGTAACAAGGACTCCATTGAGAGGTTGGTGGACCAGCTAGGGAAAGTCGAGAGCAAAAGATCTCGCGGACGATCTCCAGCACGATGGACCGACCTCATGAAATCTGTGACTCACTCCAACATAAACGATTGCTCTCACTCTGCGAAACACCGTGCCACATGGCGTCGCATCGCGAGAGCATTGGTATCCCAGGATCAGACTGATGCATGACCACGACCACTCTGTCAAGAGTGTACGAATAGGAAGAATTTAATTTGCATCACCAAGGTGATTTTTTATTATAAATTTTGGTAATATATTTGTCATAATGATACAATGGTTTCTAAGGTTATGTCTACAATACGTTTTATATTGACTTTCTATCTTATATTTGGCTAGCTTGTTTGTTGACCTTAACAATTTAATTCCAAATATGTTAGCTTTATTAAGCTTTTTCTCTTTTACGCATTTAGAGTTTACATTTTTTCATCTTGATTATCTAACAGATAAACCCATGACATTGATACATATTTTTTGTACACACAACGATTTCATTGGATGAATGTACTGTCTGAATGTGCAAATTGTCCTTTAAAATTTATTTTTATTTAATATTAATTTTATGTGACTATTTCAATATACTTACAACATCATTTGCAGCATATCCAGGACGATTTTTCACTTCTCTGGCTGTATGATCCAGCTCAACTCCACAGGTAGCACAGGTAAAGTGATAGCCATGGTAAACTTCTCCCCGATAACGTAAAGGTTCTCCGTCAATTACTCCACTGCAAGTTGACGATAATTATGTATAGTACTTGATCTATGTCTCAATTGTATTGTGATATAACTGATACATAATTCAAACAGGTACGCATAACTGATTATAATAATATGATCAGTTATGATGATATAATGATAATATGCTTTCATTGTGAAAACATCTTACATACATTTAACACCAAATTCTTATGCTGTTTCCACAACTTTTTTATGGTACTTGCTACTATGTAATAGAGTACTTGTTTCTGTGTGTAAAATATATGTAGTATAATCTATGAAGCATTACCAATAGTGATAATTAAAGACGACAGATTTAGAAAATTCTAAAATTATAACAACACAAATTATACATAATTAAGAAAACATACTGGCACTTATGACACATGTAGTTCTGCAGCCCATCCGCTTTGATACGCGCGTTACATACATGGCACAATGCTCGACCAGCATGCTTGATAAAACCGGCATCTGCAAGCTCTACATTACACTCTTCACATCGGAAGCAGGCCGGATGCCAATTAGAGTTCATCGCCTTTATAACGCGGCCAATCACAAACTCTCCTGTTTAAAAAATAAAAAAAAAATTATGGTCACATATGTATGGCATCTTTTGTAGTATATTATATAGACTGGTTATGGTCGTGTTTATTGGTAATGATTTTATTTACTGTGAAATATATGCAACAAGACAATTCTTATTGTATTTTATGCATTGAAGATCTTATTGTATTTGATACTAGTTGAGTATCGCGATGTTACCCGCGGTTATTGTTGTACCGCGGGTGACGTCGCGGAGTGAAGCTAGTCTAAAAAAGTAGCCTAAGTTACTCCTTATATCATCAGCTACCTATCAGTGAAAGTCCCGTCAAAATCAGTCCAGCTGTTCCAGAGATTAGACGAAACAAACAGACAGACAGACAAAAATTTAATAAAATATTATTTTGATATATGTACTGTGTTTACATACTTACGCATTTACAAACAGACACTCCTATTTTATTTATTTGTATAGATTAAGATTGAAATTATTATTTAAGGTTCTACCCCACTTACTTACCACACTTTGCACAGCATGGTGCAAATAAAACTTGGAAATCCTGTTCACAATACTTTCGTCCCTCAAATTCATAGAAGACACCATCAGGAAACATGCGAAAGCACTGGGCACACCTACAAAAACATGTTTACATAACAAAAAGGGTTGATCTCATGAGTCTAAATGACAAAATAAGCTCTTGCTAAGGATTGTGTTATCAACAACATCAGGTTTGAGCCCCATTACGCTGACATAGCCTCTCAAGGCTACCAGCTTAGGTAGGAAAAAAAAAGACAAAATAAATGGCTCTAGTGCCTGACTAGTCACCACATCTAGAATATAATCTCTTTCTGTTTAATGCAGAAAATTAACAGACTTGAGCATCAACTAATTTGGTAATCAGATAAGCCATCTGATAACTACTTGAATAAAACAATTTAACTGTTTTTTAATTTTTAAATAAACTACTAGTTGAATAAGAACTGCCTGATGAACTCAACAATGGCAGAGAATTTTAGGTGGGTGAGAGCAGACGCAGACATTAACGCACATGCGTACTTGTATCCAGGGAGGAAAAGTTACACTTTCTTCCCTGTATAGCGGGATGAAAACCGAACTTTCAGTGTAGGTAGGAGAAAAAATTTCTTTCTGACCACATCAACTAATTTTAAGCAGCTTTATGTTCTTATTATGTTTAAGCTTATATTAAGGAAAATCAGTTTTACTTACACAAAACAATTTGTATGCCATAATTCTCCATTGGAGTTCACAATTTTCTCATTTGGCTCAAATCCATCCCCACAGCGAGTACAATACATATTATCAAGAGACATGGTAGCTAAGCTGAAATAAGTAATTAACTTTTTAAGTCATATGAAGTAGGTTTTAATTGAAATTTATTTAACTATTGATTGATTAGTTAATGTTAACGTTATCTAGTCATTTGTAAATTAAATAATAAGTACATTCTATGACATGTCTAAATCTTTCAATACAAACAATAAAACAGATAAAGAATCTATAAAATTTCAAAATGATACTACAAGTAATTTGCCTTCTGAAGCTCACTGGCAATTTAATATAGTCACAACATAGAACCCACATAAGTTAAACAATTTACTTTCAATTCTAAGTTACAACTAAAAATTTTTCTTTAAGTTGAAATAGCTGAAATGAACTAAGTGTATAGGGATTCCTATGATTTTATTGAAATGAATATAAATATTTGGTAAAAAAAATTTTGAGGTAAAATGTATTGTACTAGTTACAGGAAAACTACCAGTATTTAATTAAGTAATGAGGAAAACTAAATTTAAGGATGACATTAAATTAGTAATAAAAATACTTTTAATGCATATTATTAATTTGTTTGTATTTGTTAGTTTTATTTATGCGCCAATGATGTTATGAACTATTTGATTGCTTTTAGGTTTTTCTTAATGGATATATCTAACTTAAAATGTTCAAAAATGGTTAAGATGCTGCAAGTAGAAGTTAGGGTGGGTGCATTTTATGAGTGACAAGTGTTTAACCACTCCCACGTCCAGCTGCAGCTTACCCAGGCATTTTTCACTTCAAATGTACTCAAATCTAATTAACGAGAACTCCAGAATACTTCTGCAGGAAAGAATTACATTACTCACAAGTCAACTAATACAATTAAACAAATGAACAGTCAACAACTGCAATTTAAAACATAGGTTGTAACTAAATGATGTAATTGAACAAGAATAGATTTTAAGTTATGAATCATTCATAAAAATAATGTTCGAAACTAAACTTACAACAATGATGCGTTAGGTAAACTAAAAAATCTGGTTTTTATTAGATTATTTTAACTTTTAATATCGACTAAAAATACTTCTATGAAGAAAGTGTGTTGAAAGTTGAAAAGTAGATTTTAAATATCTCTATCTAGTATTATCTATGTATGTATGTTTTTGTTTTTAAGGACTTTGTGACCTGGTAACTAAGACCTTTAGATCAAGTCTTATTTTAATTTATAATTTTATTTTTATGAAAAATGATAATATGGAGTGAAATGAAATTAAATTAAATGAAGATGATTAATTTGAGACATTAATCTACTGAGATGAAATTAAATGAAATGAGATGAGATGATATGGGATGAAATATAATTTCAGTAAAATGGTGGGAATTTACTGAGATTTTTTTAGAGGACTGTTTGGAGGATCCCGAGTAGCTTCGTCTAGCGGCTTTGTTTCATTTTCCCAAATTTGTGCATTTGCACAAATGTTAAGCAGTTAATAAACCACCGTTAAATTATTATACATTTAAACCTGAAGAAACTCTAAATAGACCAAATAAAAGAAATCACACAATTCACTCCTGGCGTTCTCGCCAAAAAGTCTGTATGTATATGTACGTTTGTATTTTTCATAGATACACTTAATTTTAATAAATCTGTTTTTTTGTTTGTATTCCTCCAAAAAGTCCACTGAAAAACTCTCAGTAATTGACCAGCATTTTACTGAGATTATATTTCTTTCCATATCATCTCATCTCAATTCATTTCATAATATAATTACTTAATACTTATATACCTATAAAATACTTTACTTAATATTTCATAAATATATATATAATTAATAAAAGATACGGCAGTATAGTATGATACCTTTGCTTTTTCAATTGGAAAAATAAAACTACTACCATGACATGGGGTAAATTGGGATTCCGGGGTAAATTGGGACAAACCTGCGGAAGATTCTCAAAGTACCTGTAGCACGGAATCTATCTAATTTTGTTTATGGTAATATTTATCAATGTATAGAAGAAAAACCAAGTTAACTATGGAAACACTGAATATGAGTTAAGTTGGCGCCAAAAACTCGTCAAATTAAATTGAAAATAGTGGTTGAAAAGTGAGTTTTANAAATTGGGACTCCGGGGTAAATTGGGACAAACCTGCGGAAGATTCTCAAAGTACCTGTAGCACGGAATCTATCTAATTTTGTTTATGGTAATATTTATCAATGTATAGAAGAAAAACCAAGTTAACTATGGAAACACTGAATATGAGTTAAGTTGGCGCCAAAAACTCGTCAAATTAAATTGAAAATAGTGGTTGAAAAGTGAGTTTTAAAACACCATAACGAACTTTTAAAAAAAGTAATATTAACGTTGTTTTTTCAAAAAGATCACAATTTATATAAGTTTTTAATACACCTGGAAATACCACAACAAACAGTAAGTTGCAATATTTTTATTTTAAATACAATATTTCGACAAAATAAAAAATGTATATTTTTTCCTTTCTTTTTGGGGAAATTTGGGACGTATGTGGGGTAAAATGGAACGAGACTGGAAGCATTAGGGACGAGAAAACACAAAATTGGAACGGGATAAAACAAAATAGGGATGGCTTGTTAGGGTTGTCACTGATATCATAAAATAGATTTTTTTTCGCGACATTTACCTTGTAATATCTGCCCGGTAGTATGTCCTTTATAGAAATAAAAAAAATAAAAAAATTAAAAAGAACTCAGTCTTATATATATTTAAATACGTGTATATAAACGCTTATTTTTCAGATATGCCGCGGACATACAAACCCAGTACAAAACCGTATAAAAAATATAATTCAGAAACCATACAAGCTGCGATAGCGGAATACGAAACTAAAAAAGTATCAATGAAAGAAGTAGCACAAAAATTCGGTTTGAGTAAATCTGTGTTACACAGACACATCTCAAAAGTCATGAGACCACATGGTGCACCTAGAGCATTGAAACCAGAAACAGAAGATTATATCATACAATACATAAATATCTGTTCAGAGTGGGGATACCCACTCGACACATATGATTTTAGATTGTTAATCAAGGGGTATCTGGATAGAGTTGGCATTGAAGTGAAGAGATTTAAGGACAATATGCCTGGTCCTGACTTCGTCGAGAGTTTCCTAAGGAGACATAAAGAAGTAATTTCTAAAAGAATAAGCCAAAACATAAAAAGAGCAAGAGCTGCCATTTCTCCCGAAGTCATAGAACAGTACTTTAAGCAATTAGAGATTTCTATGACTGGCGTGCCTCTTGGAAATATCGTTAATTACGATGAGACGAATCTGTCTGACGACCCGGGTAAAAAAAATATCTTGACAAAAAGAGGTGTTAAGTACCCAGAGCGGGTGATGAACCACTCAAAGTCGTCTACATCAATCATGATTGCTGCAGCGGCCGATGGTACGCTTTTACCAAGTTACGTCGTGTATAAAGCTGTTCGCCTATATGATACTTGGACAAAAAATGGACCTTATAAGTGTCGCTACAACCGAACAACTTCTGGTTGGTTCAACAGTAATGCTTTTGAAGACTGGGTCGATACTGTGGCACTTCCGTACTTTGAAGATAAACCAGGCAAAAAACTGTTGATAGGAGATAATCTTTCTTCACATCTTTCTATAAATTTGATTTGCAAATGTAAAGAAAAGGATATATACTTTGTATTCCTTCCAGCGAACTCTACCCACCTGACTCAGCCACTAGACGTTACCTTCTTTAGGCCAATGAAGACTGCTTGGCGCGACATCCTATTCAACTGGAAAAAATCTGATGGACGTTCACAGTCGAGTGTGCCTAAGAATTGGTTTCCTCAACTTTTGAAAAAGCTTTTTCAGCGTATTGAAAAAAACCAAAAAAATAACATAATAGCTGGCTTTGCTAAAACGGGAATCAGTCCATTAAACAAAGAAAAGGTACTGGAAAGATTACCTGGTAACAATATCAGAAATGAAACTACCATAGAAGACGAAAAAAAATCGATCGATGAAACAGTATTAAAATTACTCTCGGATATGCGCTATGGCAAAGAAAGTACTGGAAACATAAAATATGTTATGAAAAAATAGAAAATCAATGTACAAGCCGGTAAGAGTGTAGGTGAAGACAGTGACAATGCAGATTCAGATTTGTTAGCGTCAAGTTCCATTGTAAGTGGCAANATATCGCAGTACTGCGAGTTGACAACCCTTACAAATATCCCAATTTAACCCTTAACCGTGTCAATTTACCCCGGACGCTGGGTAAATTGGGACGGCCATTATTTTACCGATTATTTCTTTAAAATGAATAATTAAAATAATGTAACGGTTTTTATCACCTAGGTACGTTCAAGACTCAACTTATTTCTTTGGTTAAGCAGTGACTATTTTATTGGAACTATTCTAAAATTCAATCTGAAGTTCGATTTTGTCCCTATTTACCCCATTTGACGGTACTGAATTCATTCAATTTCATTCATGTCATGTCGCCTTTGAATAGTTTGAATGTTGAAAGTATATTAGGTGTAGAATCTATGGTTGAAAGCTTAACTTCAAGTGATTATGTACTTGCTCAGTGCTTAACTTGTGAATTATCTTTTTAATTAGTACTATTAACAATAACTTGAACCTTTGGTGGCTTTTCTATAGTTACGATAACACTGTTTTACAGAGTAAAAAATCGCAAACGTTAGGTATCGTAGTTAATGTCTTATGGATCGTAATGTCTTATAAAAAACCAAGCCACCCCAATGATTTGTTTCCAAGAGAAATTGAAATAGAAATTTGTTTAAAAACGTTAAAAATATATCAGAAAATAGAAGGGGATGTTAACTGCGTTGTATGGGACGCTTCATTGGTTCTAGCAAAATATTTAGAAATAATGTGCCAATATAAATCTGATTTTCTGAGTGGATTAAGAGTTCTAGAACTTGGAGCTGGACTTGGAGTTGTTGGTCTAACCGCTGCGACACTTGGGTTAGTAGTAGTACTGCATCAACACCCCTCTAAAACCGCAGTTTTTAATATTCTTATTATCCCCTAAATTTCAGAGCTCAAGTTACAATTACAGACTTACCAGAAGCTCTACCGTTGATACGATTGAATATCAACGAAAATAAGTCCAAGATTGGTAGTATGGGTGGCTACGCAACTGCAGAATCACTTATTTGGGGAGATCAGTATTCTGAAATATTCAATGAAGAATATGATTTAATAGTTTTAGCTGATTGTATTTATTATGAAGAAGTAAGTTGATAAGGAAATTGCGTGCTATGGAGAAAAATTATATATTACTGCAAATGCTCTGTGATAGCATTGTTAGTAGTTACCACCATTAGTAAACTTCAAATTTATTTCCAGGCAATAGAGCAATTGCTAATAACACTTCAGCTTTTAAGTAGAAGTCTGAAAAAAAAGCCGGTGATTTACTTAACACAAGAAATTAGAGATTCTGAGATACAAAAAAGGCTTTGGAATTTATTTTATGAAAAACTGTCTGAATCATTTTCCATTGAGAAAATACCAGAAGAAGAGCAGCATAGTAATTATAGAAGTGAAGATATAGTTTTATTAAGATTGGAAAAAAAGTAATATATCTAGCATTCCTTGCCTCCCCTACTTTTAAACTGTAAGACAGTATATGCATACATATTGTTTAGGTTATTGTTAATCATCTGAGCTAAATAACTTTCATCAAATACACATGCTGTCCTTAGAAGTTTTATGGAAATAAAAATTAATAGAATAAGTGGTGAAAGGCATATTCGTGACTCATAGTGATCTCGTTTTAAAGACATAGTCATAGATAGCTTCAAACGAAAGCTCTGAATGTAGCTGTATTTTAGCTGTACTCTGAACAGTAACATGCTGAAATTAATACTGCAACTGTACTGTAAATAAACTGACATAGGAACTGAATTTTTTAGTTGGTGATGTTGACTAAAATGACATTCCATTTACCTGAAACTGTAGTGTCATCTACAATTAAAGGGATCGAAAGAGATACCAATCAAATGAATTCTAGATTTATAATGGAAATAAAAGTTTACATAGTACTACTAGTAGTGGTAGTAACTTCTATATGGTGGACGCATTAACACCTCCCAACTAATCTCTCATATACTGTTTCTTTTTTTACCTACATTTTTTTTTTTTTTCCTACCTATGCTGATAGCCTTGAGAGGCTATTTCAGCTTCGCCCTAACGTTTGTAGGTGAGCTCGCGGGGCTCAACCGGAGAGTTGCTAACACTGACCCTAGCAAGAGCAGTGCTTCCCAGAATCTACCACCGGATCGGAAACGCGACCCACTGAGAAGATCCGGCGAGAAACTCAGTGGGCTGTGTCTATGGGTTAGTTCGCTCGTCGAGCCCTTCGTCGCAAGCGACGGGTTCGACGAGGACGGTGACCGGTGCTTGTGGTGCCTAAAAGCACCGTTAATGGATCAGGAGGATCCGNGCTCGTCGAGCCCTTCGTCGCAAGCGACGGGTTCGACGAGGACGGTGACCGGTGCTTGTGGTGCCTAAAAGCACCGTTAATGGATCAGGAGGATCCGTAATGACGTGCTTTGGGCGACGTCGACGGTTTACCATTCGGTCTACTGGGTCGGGTATGTAATTTCCAGCGGCTACGATGAGAGTGTTCTCATGTCGTGCCGCCTTCTCAATATGGCGCATTTTGCTAGTGTCTATATTATAATATAACCTCTAGCTGTTATTGCTGGCTTCACCAGATGTGATGCTGTTTCAATAGAGAATCTTAAATGAGTACATGATTCATTAGGTTTCTTTCACTTAACTGGTGTAATATTTTAACAGTCAAAACTATTTAGTCTTCAACCGTATTCTAATATCAGCTGCTAATATACCTATTGATTTGCTACATTTCTTCAAAAGTGGTGTAATTTCAAAAATAACACCAAAAGTTCATTTTCAATTCTGCACTCTACTATGTTTACAACTGCTACATTAATATCACCCCACTTGCCGTCCTGGCGCCGTTTTGATGGTTGTTTGAGTTTTAATTTACCTCTACCCTCAATATCCCTATATGAGACAGTTATCGTTATCTAAACACTCCGTAAATTTTACATTAATCTTACTGGTACTGTGCAAATCCATAAACGTCGCAATTTTTATCGCTGCTTGTTATTATAGTTATTTATTTTGAAATAAAACTTTCAAATGCATTGAACTAACTAGTTCGAATAATCCAGTGGCCAACAGAAAAACGGCAGGAAGTTTTTTTCTGTTATTAACATAAATCGAAGGGTGTAAGGCTATTTGGTTTAAGCGACATTTTTACAACTTTTCGGGAGAGCCATTTAAAGTTTATATTTTGGAAAAAAATATTACAAAAACCTTCTGCTGATTGAATGGGGTAGACTTAATTGGGTTCGGTTCAATTAAAAGCATCAAATTGTTGATACTAATACTAAATAAAGCGGACCTTTCATTACGAAGATTGCTTAAACCAAATAAACTTTCACCCCTCGATATATTTAACGTTATCAAAATCTGCTACAAACAGTACCTACAATCAAATAGATTTTATTGCATCTTTATTCTTCTAAAATTCCAAAAACCTTTTTGTTCAACCTATAAAACTATAAAAATGAATTGTTTAAAGTACAAGACTGAAATAAATATTTAAACCAAGTCCAATAACAGTCTGGCTCATAGTGTGAAGGAGCAGCCTGACTTGGTCAAACTCTTTGCTTCATATTCGACTTTGAATGACGGGGGAGCCACGCCGCCCAACATCTCCCGGTGTGACAGCTCCTTGCTTGAGATTCGCATCACACAGCGTGCGGTCAGGCAGGAGCTTCAGTTTCTCGATGTCCATAAGTCGAGTGGGCCGGATTGCATCCCCGCAGTGGTTCTAAAAACATGCGCCACTGAATTGACATTCGCGCTAACGCGTCTATGTCGCCTCTCGTACAATGCCAACAGGGTTCCGTCTTCATGGAAGACTGATCATGTCCACCCTATCCCCAAAAGGGGTGACCGGTCGGACCCCTCGAATTACCGACCTATTGCGATAACTTCCTTGCTTTCCAAGGTGATGGAGCGAATCATAAATATCCAATTCTTTAAGTAGGTATCTTGAAGATCTCCAGCTGATCAGTGAGCGGCAGTACGATTTCCGTCATGGTCGCTCAGCTGGCGATCTTCTTGTATACCTCACACATAGACGGGCTGAAGTCTTGGAAAGCAAGGGCGGGGCTCTCGCTGTGAGCCTTGGCATCGTGAAGGTCTTCGACCGGGTCTGGCATAGGGCACTTCTATCGTAGCTTCCAACTTACGGAATCCCCGAGGGACTCTGCAAGTGGATCGCTAGCTTTTTGGATGGATGGAGCATCACAGTTATCGTTGACGGCTGCTGCTCCGATACCATGACCATCAACGCTGGCGTTACATAAGGTTCGGTGCTCTCCCCCACGCATTTCATACTGCATATCAATGACATGCTATCTATTGATGGTATGCATTACTATGCGGATGATAACACGGGGGATGCGCGATATCTCGACCATCAGAGTCTCTCTCGAAGCGTTGTACACGAGAGGCGATCAAAACTTGTGTCTGAAGTGTAGAACTCTCTGGGGCGGGTCTCCAAGTGGGGTGAACTGAATTCAGTTCAGTTCAATCCATTGAAGACAGGTTTGCGCGTTCATTGCGAAGAAGGACCCATTTGTCATAGCGCCGGAATTACAAGGAGTACCCCTGCAGCTTTCCGCGAGTATAGGGATTCTGGGGGTCGATATTTCGAGCGATGTCCAATTTCGGAGTCATTCGGAAGGAAAGCCAAATTGGCCTCTAAAATGTTGGGAGTCCTCAACAGAGCGAAGCGGTATTTCACGCCTGGACAGAGACTTGTGCTTTATAAAGTGCAAGTCCGGCCTCGCATGGAGTACTGCTCTCACTTCTGGGCCGGGGCTCCCAAATACCAGTTACTTTCATTTGACTCCATACAGAAACGGGCTGTTCGGATGGCCGATAGTCCCGTTCTCGCGCATCTGTTGGAACCTCTGGGTCTACTTTGAGACTTCCATTCTCTCTGTGTTTTATACCGTATGTTCCATGGGGAATGCTCTGAGGAATTATTCGAGATGATCCCCTCATCTCCTTTTTATCATCGCACCTCCCGACATCGAAGCAGAGTTCATCCATATTATCTGGAACCGCTGCGTTCATCGACAGTGCGTTTCCAAAGATCTTTTTTGCTACGTACCATGCGGCTTTGGAATGAACTCCCCTCCACGGTGTTTTCCGAGCGTTATGACATGTCCTTCTTCAAACGAGGCTTGCGGAGAGTACTTAATGGTAGGCAGCGGCTTGGCTCTGTCCCTGGTATTGCTGACATCCATGACCGATGGTGACCACTTTCCACCAGGTGGACCGTATGCTCGTCTGCCTATAAAGGCAATAAAAAATAACCTGTGTAACTTTTCATAGAAGTTTAAATTGAAAAATAGATTGCTTTGTTAACTTTAAAACAGCGTACTTAGTATCTAATCATAAAGTTTTTTTTTTTTACTGAAAACTACGATTCAATTACCTATGTAATATTTCTTTACAATATCTTTATGCAGACCAAAGTAACGGGTTGTTGCAAAAGTGCATTTAAAAGTTTGAAAAAAGTTTCAAATAGATTCTTTTTTTTTAATACGGTGTGCTGTTTTTGGACGTCTGTGCCCTTATTCCTGATTCTAACTGGTTCGCCATAGATTTGGTTGGGGTTTAAAGCTTAAACGGTGTTGTGGAATATTGTCCCCAACGTACCCCTATGGGAAAATGTTCGGGTTGCGTGTTGGACAATTCAAGTCAAGTCACAAGTCACTTAAAACTCGTGCAGCGAGTACAAAAAGTCTACCCGATCCACTATTAGCGCTTTTAAGCATTCAAAACACTGGACACCTTTCTCTGTGAACACGTCGGAAGCGGCGAAGTATTTGTCATGCAACTTCACCAACAGACAGCGTCGCGATTCCGATACGATGGTAGATTCAGCTATGCACTGCTCATGCTAGGGCAGATGTTAGCAAATTCTTTCAGGTTGAGCTCGTGATCTCACCGACCCGTCCACACTTAGCTGAAATAATCCCTTATAGACATGAGATATAACTGCTACATTCCATACCCGGCCTTATATGTATGGGTACCGCTAAATGTCCGGTCCATAAACCCGGTGCCCTAAAATTATTGCTGTGGTAAAACGTGGAGATATCGATTGCATATCAGCTTTAAATAAATTACTTTTTGTGATTTTGTAGTGCTTACAGTTCTTTCTCGTTCTTTTTTATTTCTGTATATTATTCTAATAACATATAACGCCTATTTTTAAATTTACCCGGTTGCTACTGTAGCGCCACCCTTATTTAGCAGATTTTAACGGACACTTTTTCACTCACAGAGACGGTTTTCCTTAGCGGTCAGAGTTGAAAAAAAGTATTGCTTAGACTTTTTGGCGGGAACGCAAAGAGTGAAGTTGTGCGATTTGTTATAATTTGTTTAATTAGTGTTTCTTCAGGTTTAAATGTGTAATAACGGGTTATTAACTGTTTAATATCTGTGAAAGTGCACAAATGTGGGGAAATGAAACAAAGCCGCTGGACGTAGCTTCTCGGGATTCTCCAAAAAGTCCACTAAAAAAAAAAAACATATGTGCAATTCACACGTGTTAGAAGTGAAACCTTCAAAAATTAAAATACAATTATCCTAAATGTCTAAGTATATTATTATTATTAAAATTTTGTCTTTTTTTTTTATTGCTTAGATGGGTGGGCGAGCTCACAGCCCACCTGGTGTTAAGTGGTTACTGGAGCCCATAGACATCCACAACGTAAATGCGCCACCCACCTTGAGATATAAGTTCTAAGGTCTCAGGTATAGTTACAACGGCTGCCCCACCCTTCAAACCGAAACGCATTACTGCTTTACGGCGGAAATAGGCAGGGTGGTGGTACCCACCCGCGCGGACTCACAAGAGGTCCTACCACCAGTAAAAAATAATTGTAAATAATTATAAATCACCTTTTATAGTATGAGGTAGCTCCCTCTGTGAATTGATATTTTAACTTCACGTATATCCTAAATTAAAATTCACTACAAGAGGTTTCATACACACGTTAGTATTAAAACATCTCACAGATGGCGCTATATTAAAAATAGAATACTTTATACGTATGTTTTAAAGTATGTAGGAACTGAGCATTCTGTCTCACTTTTTCTCTCGATCTTTCTCACTTGTTTGCTCCCTACTCTCACTCCATGGCTAGTTGCTTCATGCTACGTTCGCCCTGTCTTACTCTATCTCAATCGGTCTCGATCGCTCTCTCTCTCTTTCGACACTTCCGTTGCATACCTGCGTGACGTTACATCTGTAAAAATTTTACCCTCATGCGTCTAAAGAAGTTTCACTTCAAAAATCTCAGTAAATGACCACCATTTTGCTAAGATTGTATTTCATTCCAGATCATCTCATCTCATTTAATTTCATCCCAGTTGATTAATATCTCAAATTAATCATCTTCATGTCATTTCACTTTACATTTTTGATAAAAATAAGAATATAAATTAAAACAAGGCATGACTTAAAGGTCTTAGTTACCAGGTCGTAAAATCCCCTAAAAAAAAATTTTGTTTTTGTTTATTTTAGGCACTAAATAAAATTGTGCCGTTACCAGGTCATTTAAATAATAAAAAAAAATTGGCAAGATAACTGAGTTTAGGTATGTACAATTAAAAATATAAATTTGATTCATAATCGAATTTGTCAAGTATTTACAAAGAGTTATCGTTTCACTGTGAAAGTAAATGCAACACTATCGTAGGTACAACTTTGGCAATGTTTCAGTAATACTGATGTGACTGTTCGACAATGATTCTTATATCGATAATATATATTAATTAAAAAATAAAGTGAACTTGCCATTATTTTAATTTAAATTAAATTATAAACTCAGCAAGCATGAACAATTTTGGTTCAGTTGATACTGTTGTTTGTGTACCAAATGTGCACTACTATTAGTCATTTTTAATCTTTAGTTAAGTGAACAAAAATCATAAGTTACCTAGTAATGACTATTATTTATAGTGAACATTAATATAAGTAAATTATTAGTAGTATAGTTCTTGCTGATCTTGGCCACTTGAATAAAATATTATTTTAGCGGCACTCGTGATGCATACATTATTTTCAAATTATTCGAATGTCCAGAAATTAGTGGAAATTTAGTTGAAAGATTTTGTTTTATAGATAAGCAGATACAGGTCAATATTATAAATTATAAGTCCCACTGGCCTAAAGAAATCAGAGTTGTGCAATTTGTATCCAAATTTATTTATTGAACAGAAAATATATTTCATTTGCTTTAAATGATGTAAATGAAGTGACATTTGGTAGGCCGCGGCTTGGCTCTGCCCCTGGCATTGCTGAAGTCCATGAACGACAGTAACCACTAATCATCAAGTGGGTACTATACGAGTATAGTACCCACTTGATGGGCCCTATAAGGGATGACTGCCTATAAGGGCAATAAAAAAAAAGATTCATTAATACTACAAATAAAATAAACTTGTTTGGTATCACCCACAGAAAGTTTTAATCATTCCCTGCTTATTTTAGAAAATGATTTTGGATACATTTTTTATTGCCCATCAGTCGTTTGCATTGATATTTATGGTATAATATTTGTATGTAGGTGTGAAGTTGTGCACAGTTACTTGAGTTATGATTGTATGGCTAACCAACAACTAGCTGCTTAGTGGGAAATTAGTCTATAAGTGTGTATAAAGACATCTTGTTGAATGTTTGAAATTCGTAAACTCTCACATATTGCAACTTATGTCTAACTAACTTTATTCCAGATATGGATCAACATTTAAAAAAAAACTGCATTCGAACCAATGTAACCGTTGGCAATGCCTGGATAATCTGCAAATCCAAATCCCATCCAGGATTTAATTATTATTTTAATACTTTATCTGGTGAAGCTGTTTGGAACCTCAGCAGTGCAGAGGTAATAAACAAACCTTAAATTTAAATATATTTAGTTTAAAAAAACATATAAAAGTAGTAAGCTGAACAATCAATTAAGATCGCCTTTTTCTCATTGTATTGACACTGGTCAGGATATTAAAGTGAAGTTATACAATTATCCTTCCTTCCTTCCTAGACAGGATTATGACTCCAAAGTCCTAAACTTTTTAAGTCTTCAGGCAATACAGCTACTGCATAAACTACTCCAAAAAACTATGGCTTACTTACTGCCTTGCCAGGAAATAAGAGATCAAACATTCAGATGAAGGTTAAATTCTTATATTGACATCGAAAATCCCTTCCGTTTCATGTAGAACTTATCAAATTAAGTGGAGTTGTTATTTATTTACTTTGAATATGCTTAATTTTTCTCTTAAGAACGCCTTTGATTCGATTGAGACCTGGGCTGTGTTGCTGTCTCTCTAACGGTACCAAATTGATTACCGATACGTTGAAGTGTTTGTATGGAAATGCCACTATGTCAGTCCGATTACAGGACCGAACTTCTCACTATGTCAGTCCGATTACAGGACCGAACTTCTCACTATGTCAGTCCGATTACAGGACCGAACTAAGTTCTTCTGCAGCATGGAGTGAGGCAGGGAGATGTTATTTCTTCAAAATTGTTTAATGCTCAATTAGAGGATGCTTTCAAAGTTCGGTACTGGAAAGGGCTAACGTCATCAATGGCGAGTACATAACTCACCTTCGGTTTGTCGAAGATATTGTGGTTATCGCTGAGACCTTGAAATACATCAGTATAATGCTCAATGATCTCAGTAGAGCCTCTATCCGAGTGGGCTTGAATAAGAACATGAGAAAAATGAAAATTATGTCAAATGCCCATGTAGCACCTAATAAAGATCGGAAACTACGCTCGAACTGGTTGGCGAGTACATTTACCTAAGGCATCCAACTTGGATGGATAGCGTTCGGAAAGCTACGTAGAATCTTCTTATCACAAATGACACTGTTCTCAAGATGAAAGCCTTTGACCAGTGATAACATATGGCACTAAAAAGTCACGCTCCAAGGTTTAAGGTCACTCAAAGAGCAACGGAGAGGGATATGCTCGGAAATAAAATCAGAAATTAGGAGATTCGTAGGAAAACCATGGTAACCGACATAGCCCAAAGGATTGCGACGTTGAAGTGGCAGTGGGTAGAGTACATTACTCGTAGAATAGCCGCTGGTAGTTTCCACAAGGTGGCCCGACGACCTACTGAGGTTCGCAGGAATCCGTTGGATATAGGATCGGTCATTTTGGCGAGGTTTGGGTAGGCCTATGTACCACAGTGGACGTCTGTGGTCTGAAAGGTAGATGCTTAATTTGAAGAAAATAAACCGCAAACATAAATATGTTACAAATTCCATCTTTTTCCTAGAAAGTCAATAACTTTATTAACGAGTCGTCTAATTTGTTTTTATTTTATTTGAAATGTAAAAACAGATTCTAACACAACTGTACAAATAAGATATTGCCTTGTTCAAATATCAATATTGTTGTAACCAAATCGAGATAGCAAATTTGTAGCTTTTAAAGAATCTCCTATGCTTGTTGTTTGATGTACAAATCTAACTAACCATATTAAGTCTTAAACTATCAGTTTGCCACTAATACTGAAGTTATGCTGGTACATCGTCGGTTTTTGATCTATTTCATAATCTATCTCAAAGCGATAGATAAATCCGAGATGTATCTCAATTAATTTAAAATTATAACTGCATCCACGACTATCGCGCACTCCGACTTAAGATTTTTCGTTTGCTTCAAGCTGATCGACTTCCCGCTATGTCCATTCGTTAGTTCTCGTTATGATTTTGGGGTTGATTGCTTTCCGCTTCCGTAGTTTAACCTGCGATTCCCTACAAGTGACCCTTGGGTGGTGCTAAGCGGAAGCCGAAAACATAACTGGTGGACTAGTGGTGTTCGCTGCCACCCGCCGGTCAGTAGGGGACCTGAACCCGGGTGTCACTACTAAACTCCGCCCCGGGAAGCTGTCCCGCCAACCTGGTGTAAAATCATGTCGTGCGGTCGTTGTGCCAGAGCTGGAGACCGGAGTCGATACTGGCGATCATATGCAGAGTATACGGGGGCCCTACTATGCCCAGCGTCAGTCTCTCACGCAACCCGTGGTCGAGCACGCACTGTGTCTCGCGCTTTAGGCTGCCTGTCCACCGGAGCGGGGCGAGGCAGCGGAGCGGAGCATCGGAATAAGGCGGAGCAGAGTTGCGTACTGTGTCTGTCCACCGTAGCGGAGCGAGCCTGCGGAAGTGAGCGAGAAAGTAATGCGGAGCAGAGTTTAGTACCTACGCGACGAATCAGTTAACACTGCGGCCGCGCGAATTCGTTAAAGTTATTTACATACGTCGGTAGTGTACATATGCCCATCACATTTTATAGGAATATACAAATTCATTATTACAGTTTATACAATACGAGTATAACGTTTCTAAAGCATTATGTATGATTTTAACAATATTTTCGCCACAATTGATTAGACAACAAGATTATGTTAAGAATAACGAATTCTATTTTGTAAAGAAAATAATTTTATATTTTTGCACAGAGGTAAAAAACATAAACAAGCGACATAGGATGAAGATGTCGGATAAAAATATTTGGGGTAGTAATCTTACATAGATTAGGACTTAAAATTATGTGTAATATATATTTAAATATCAAACAGGTCGAAAAAGCTAAGAAGAAGACAAAATTTCTAGAAAGTCAACCAGGAAATAGTCTGCAGAGATGTCCTGAACCAAAAGAACCTCCAGTCACCCCACCCTTTCAGAATTCAAGTTATGCATCTCATTCTAACTATTCAGTTCAGAATGGTGTGATGTTAGGACCACAATGTTCTACACAGCCAATGGGTGGATCACAGTTTTACAATTCCTTGAGTTTGATAAACGCCGTACCTCTTAATGTAACAACAGTACCTGCATACAATTCAAACGTTTGGTCCCTTCCACCTCAAACACAATTCATAATAAGTCCATTAATTAATCAAGTACAAACAATGATGCCTCATGCTCAATTACAATTAAATAAGGATAGTCAACATTTGTCAAACCAAAACGCATCTGGACCAAAAATATTCCAAAATAAGCCTTTTGATAGAGGACAAAACTTGAAAGAAAATGTTTTTCAAAGAAACAAATATGCTGGAGGTCAATTTTCAAATGTAGATTCCGATCTGAGACAAAAACTTAGAACTGTACGTAATAAATATCAAAGGTCTAAATATGTTAACGAAAATCAGCTCAAAGATGGAAAGTTTTTTAATCAAAACACAAAGGTATGTGAATTTGAATCTTACTTTACTGATACATCTGAATTGTAATGGAGGCTAATAATTCAATCATGTTAAACTTAAAATCATTTGGATAAAATTAATTGGTTTTATTTTCGAGATTTCACCATGCAGTTATAAGTATTAGTGAGAAGATCCCACCTAGAATTTATTCGTGTAAATGTTTTCTACATAAATTCTATAAATTGTTTACAGCCTTATATTCACAAAACAATGGATACCACTAAAATTGATCTTACACCTTTGAAAAATTTAGCTCCATTAAAAACACATACTGATAGTTGGTATATAGTGGCCGATACAAATACGATTTTAAACAACTTTGGATTTCTCACTAATTTAACAGATTCAGGTATGTTTCAAATAATATTAATACCAAGTATATGTTTTTGTGCTTATAATCGGAAATAGACCGACCTTATGCTTCTAAGGTCGACAATGGTTGAACAGTAATGTATTTATTATATTTTAGATAAAACATGTCACTTGACGGTGCCGAAATGTGTCATGAACAACCTACAATCCATTGCTGAAAAAAATAAAAGTATGAATGCACGCCGCATAGTAAGGTTTCTTACACAGCAAATAGATGCCGGTTTAGTAAAATTAGGTAAACCATCATTCCACTTTTTTTTTTTTTAATAGTGATTAAAGTACTGGTTTTAATTATTATTTCACTTCCAGAAGAAAAAGGCGAAGATGATAATAGCCCATCGAATATATTTGACCTGTGCTTAAAATTATCACAGAAACAATATCATGTAGTAAGTTTATTTATTATTAGCAAGAAGATATGCTATTCTTAACCCCTATTCGAGCAATTATCTATTTTATGGAAAAGGTTTTAAATTGTTATCTTTTGTAATATACGCCTATTACATATACATATTATGTACCTAGTCCAGCCAAGTTCTGTTACAAATGGAAATGCATTTTAAAAAAAATGAACTAATTATGAAAACTTATACCTTCACATTTATTAAAGTCTCACCAAAAATTTAAAAATAAATTCTCTTCGGTGGCCATTTCGAATAGATTTTTTTTTTTAATTTTTTACAAAAAGCCAAACATTTATACATGCCGTTCATCTGTTTGGCCTCGAATCTATAGAGTTACGCACTGTTTCCAAGGGAAATTTCGCCACTGTTTGGTCCAAAGATTTTTAAGAGACTCAATGTGGCCGTGTCGTTGGGAGCAGGCTATGTCTTCTAAAACTGACCATAATTTGAAGTCTAAAGGGTTGATTGAGGTCTGGGCTAGATGAGGGCCAGTCTTCAGCTCTTCTAAAGTCCGGAACGTTGGTTTCAAACTAGGCTTGGGTAGTTCGTGCCTTGTGACCAGATGTAGTATTGCTGGAAAGTACTCGGTATATTTTTAAAAAGTGTGTTGCTGAGAGGTTTTACAACATCATCCATGACTATATATTGATACACTTTGGCTGAAGTTTTCACGCCTTTTTCACAAAAATGTAGTTTTGTGACTCCTTGAAGTCCTTGATAAGACACGCCCCACCAAACCATCACTGACGTTAGATGATGACCACGTTGTACCTTTCCGTCGATCAGCTTCTTTAGAACTGTGAGCGTACACTTTATCATTTTGCTTATTGTACTGTACTTCAATCATGAAAATTTTTTCATCAGTAAAGAGGATATTTCTGTGCCTTTCACTTGCGAATCGCGACAGAAGGCGTTTTTATCGATCCACTATTTTTAATTGTAAAGATTGATTTAGAGCATGTCCTGTAGGTCTATCGATGATAAGTACCGAGCTTCAGGTCTTGTTTTATAATACGCGACAAAGTCCTAGCGGGAATCTTCATTTCTCGCGATAAGATAAATACAAAATAATTAAAAAGTCGAAAAAAATATAAGTTTTTATGTAAAAGTACTTATGGCCAAACAAGTTATGTTTTATACGTAGCTAACTAAAACTCAGTATTTGGAATAGAAGCGGATTGTTCCCAAAACCAAAATAATAAGAAATTACAATAATAACGCCGCGAAAAAAAAAAAACGGTGCGCGTGCAACTTGGTGTAAATAAATGAAGTGACACTTCTTTTTCAATGTGTAGTATTGTGTAGTATTGTGGTTTTCTTCATTTTTCATCCTTAAATCAGATTGCTCTTGTAATAGGAAATGCTGTGTATGAGAGATGCGATATCTTCAACATTTATATTTTTATTATTATTTATATATATTTTTTAATACTTCATTAAAATATTGGACGCTACTCGTTGCTAACGCTCGCGCTGGCCTGTAACGGGTATTCACATTCACTATCGCTCTGTCTCTTTCTAGTATGGTAGCGTTAAACGTTTAACGCAACCTTGTTGGAAGTTGCATTAGAAGTTCCACTTCAATATTCCCTTACTTGTCGTTTTAATAAGTTCATATTTCATTGATCGCGCCATATATGTGACTTAACAGATGCCTGGCACTCCCCGAGCACGTCAATCCCTTGCCTCAATTGATTATTAATTGTCTTTGGTTGCACACAGCGCATAACACGAAAATCGCATTTTCTTCGGTTTTCGTGATTCGTAAACATCATTAAAACGATCCGACATTTTGGATACTAAACAGTTTTCGTGGTCACTGTCACGCAGTAGTACCTGAACCATAAAATAGGTTTAATTATAACAAGGAAATCGGTCATAAAATATAATTATTCGTACACAATTTGGATTCATCACCACCTTCTTCTTTGTTTTCGTAACGGACCCAATTAGCCTTTATATAAGAAAAGGTATTAATTAGCAACAAAATAAGCATAGCTGTATCTTACAGACAACACTGCTATCACGTGAACTAAAAAAGAGACTAGATAAATATTCTTTAAAATAATTTCTAGGTTCTTCTTTCGGATGATGTGACATTGTTAAAATATAAAGGCATGAACAATATAATTATAATGACAATCATAGAATTGAAAGAACTTCTTGAAAAAAATACCAACCACGCAACTGTACCAGAAGAAACACCTTTTATTGTTGAAAAATTAATCAAAATAACAGTTCCTAATGACATGCAAAGCTCTCAGTGTCACACAGTACCGACGAGAGACAGTAAAATTGGGCATGAAACGGATTTTACTCAAGAATTGCAAACAACAAAAGAAATATCTTATAGTGAAATGGTTACAGAAAGCAATAATAGTAGTGAGTGCGGTGAGGAAGTTAGCGACTGTTCGCAATGTAAAACTGCGTGTAGTTCGCCTAGAGGCGACGTGATACCTCTGAAAAAAAGTTCAGATCTCAAAGATGAGACTGAAATTGACGTGGAAGATAGATCTCATGCTAGTTCAAAAGATAGACTACCTAAAAATCAGTCGCCTATGACTGACCATAAAGTGAAAGAGAAAACCGCCGAAGATTACACTCCTAGAAAAAGAGTTATAAAGTTGAGACATAATGTTAGTCAGAGTGAACCAACTATTAAAAGAAAACGATGGAGTACTAGGAGACGTTGTGATAATAATTATCTTTCAGCAGAAGAGCGTTTTTCACAATCGCCCAACGTTAATATTGCAAATGTAAATAATGTATTCACAGAGAAACGAAATGACGCTGCTGGCGAAGAAATTTTTGCCGATCAAACAAAAAGCTCAACCGATACTATTGATTGTAGTAGCATGAACAGTGTAATTATTTCAAATCGTGTTCCTGATAATAATATTATCATCGACGAATCTTCTATGTCTGGTGCTATATCAAACACAGAAAGCAATGTTGATACTGATAGCGTCATTAGCTATAAAATGAAATTTTGTCGTGAGATAAAGAAACCTATTCAGCGTAACATTATGGTTGATATACCCAGCACGGTCATAGAAGAACACCTTTCAATGAGATGCGAGGAATGGTTATTCAGATTTATCCAAATAATGGAGGATGTGCTATCACAAATTTTACAAGAGGATCCGCATTTTGTGAATAGTGAATTTCCACCACCGTGGACATTACACGAAGCAACGCAGTGCATAATAAAGAAGTTTAGTCACTGCTGTTATGTTGTAGACGCTGCGAATAAACTGTCTATAGTGCTTTTTGAGTTAAGTGACGCAAAAGGTAAAATTCCATTTTGTAGTAATTTAAATATAGAACGTCATTGTAGATAACTGATAACAGATAAGACCACCATTAAGAGTTTCGTTTCGGAGCTAATTCAAGTTCTTACCTCTTACCGTAAATGTTTTAGTATTACCGTCAGTATGAGTTTCTAAATCCCAACTTAACTTTCTCTATTCTTGTTTTTAATCTTCATTTTGAGTGGGTATGCATTATTAGGTTGTGTTAGATGGTAGCTGCAAAACACCCCAATACGCACTATAATATTATATTATATATATATATATAGTGACTATATCGTCTATTTTTGATGTAAATTAATCAGTGTTTCATTTGCTATGGGATATGGATCGATCAATCCAATGCAATTGAATGTAGCTCTGGGGCAGTAACTAGCAACGGCGACCTATCAGCATCAGATCGAGTCTAAGCTCCTGCATTTGCGTCTACCTATAATATAAATAAAATAAAACTTCGATCTAATGTTCGAAGGTAGCCATTCACTTTGTCATGCTAAGGGGCTGCGCTAATGTCTGTCGGGCCAGATATAAGCGAACAGAATTCTTTATGGGTTTAAATGTATTTTAGTGCTCTCTAAGGCAAGGGAATCTTTGGCCTAGCACCCCCTTAGCTCCCCCCGCGTTCTTGGTTATTTCCGACGCCAATGTGAACTCGCATGTTACAATGCCATAAATTCTCTTCAAAATTTGGTTGAATGGAGACATTTATGATATAATATTATAAAATAAGAATAAATAAATAAGAAACAAAACTTTTCAGGTAAAATGATTTCTAAAATAAATCCGTCGCAATATATGGAAATGTACAGCTATGGTGCTTACTTGATCAAGGCTTTGCAGGTAATTGTTGATTTCATTAAAGGACTAAATCCTATCCTTTGTCAACTGTTATCTACTTCTTTTAACCCTCATTTGAAGATGGACATAATATATAACGTTAGGGAAGTAAATGAAGGAGATATTTCTTGAAAACGAACGCCTTGATTTTATGTAGTGGGAATGAACTTTTCAGCAGTGATGAGTGCCGGTTTGATATTAAGTATAGTTCCAATTCGGCTCCGACTACTTATAGAGGAAGTCCAATCGAAAAAATTTATGTTTGGGACCACGAGTTCAGATATGAGAGCAGATCACGGCGCAGCGACTTGCTTGTGCCTTGCATTGCTGATGCCCATGAGCGACGGGTACCACGCACCTTCATTTGGTATAAATTAATGATAAAAAATGTTGCAGGACGTTAATGAAAATTGTCAAGATCTTAAAACTGCGTCAAAGCATTTAAAGGAGTTATTAGACGATATATATAATCCGCACATAGATAAGCTTAATAATGACAGTTTTGTTGAAGATATTTCCAGAGTTTCTCCCAAAAAATTAATTCCATCTTGTAAGTCTTTTTTATATAATATCAATTGATTGGTATTAGTTAATGCTAGCCTATTATTAAAAAATTCTAATAGTAGTAAAGCTAGTGTGAATTGCAAAGTTTATACCGATTACTGGGGAACTGCAAATGGGTTTGGGAAAATAGTAGCAGTAGCTAAAAGGGCACAATGTTGCGCATCCGCAATCCCTGATGAATGTTGATTTAATAAAATTCTGTATAGGGTCCTCCGACTTTGCCTTTTTAAATTGAGAAACTAAAATGTTTTCATATAAATAACGGTCAAAGTCACGCTAATTGATAATGTTTGCGGCTTTGCTTTGCATGTTATATGCTTTTACTCCTCTATCGTGGAAGCGATCTGGAAAATCTGTTAGGAACAAGAACACCGATGGATCTAACTCTACAACGAATACGAACTAAATGCTTTGATATTGTTTATTTCTTCGTTCAAGGCCCCGATAGAAGAAGTACCGTAAAAAACCAAAGTGAAAATGTTCAAAATGTAGAGAACACTCCGAAAAGTTCTGATAACCAGATTAAAATTCAATCAAATGAGGTAAACTTAACAAATCTATTTATTTTAAACTAATTACCTTAAACGAGTGTCTAATACAACTAATTAGATTATTTTAATTTTCATCAATCAAGTTCGAGTAATACTGTCCTGAATATTTTACAGGGAAAAACTACATCAGTCTCAATAAAAGAAGATCTCTTCCTTCATCTCGAACTCGAAAAGAGTAGTACTGATAATAAAAAAATTGAAACAAACCAAGTATTAGAAAATGAAAAAGAATCTGACCAAAATGATGATATTGCAGCAGTCAACTCCTGCAAACCAAAAATAATAAGATTATTCACAAAATGTCCTGAATTTGAGAATCGTTCAGAATTGGATTACGATTTGGATGCAGATGAAGACGAAGAAGAATATGAAGACGAAGATGAAGATGAAGAATATGATAATGAATATGATGAAATTTCAGACTTCTGTGACGAAACAGAAACTTTGGTTCGTCCTGTCGTGTCAGATGAGGTTAAAATCAAGGGGTTCATTTCAATGTTCTTACAGGAAATCAATGAAACTTACCAAGAGGTTATGACATTATGGTGAGGAGTCTTTTTGTGAATTATTTATTGAATCTTTGACGTATAAAACGTGTAATTAACATAAAATATCTGTTTCAGTGATACAAGCTATAAAGACCTTTTAGATAACAACATTCCAAACCATATTAAAACCGCAATTGGTGTAAAAGCAGAACAAGCTGTTGATCATATAAAAACCCTTTGTAAATCGTTGGACAGGTATGTTTATGTATAAATGTATAAATAATTACAATTACATATTGAATTTAAGATTTATTTTTTCCTACCTAATCGCTGGTAGCCGATTCGAGTTGCTCACGAATTGCTGGGTGAGCTCACGGGCTAAAGCTCAGAGGCTTTGCTAACATTGGCTCTAGTAAGAACAGGTTCACTAAAGGAACTTCGCCAAATCTGCCACCAGATCCGAATCGCGACCCACTGTGAAGATCCGGCGAGAAACTAAGTGTGGTGTGTCTATGGATTATCGACAAGGGACAATTTGCTTCGCTTGCAGCTCATGGGGTAGAATCAACCGAGTAAGAACGCGATTCGGTCGCGTGCGGACATGATGTGGGGACCGAATATTATTCCTCTGTCAAGGGTGACGCCTAGGTACTTGGCCTTCGAAGCCCACGGTATGGGCTGGCCAAAGATTTTGATGGCGGGAATGTAGTTACCGATGCATAATTCTTGAGGAGATACTAGCAGTGGCTTCGGGAGGACGAGCCCTTTTGAAGAGCACGGCTGTGCTTTTCACGGGTTTGATGTCGATGTGCCACTTCGGGAACCGCTCACGTAACTTGGTGGCCGCAATCTGAACTTTATTGTGCATGAACGCATCTTCCTACTTGAGCGGCGAAAAGGGCTAAATGGACCGGTGTATATAGTTTATGTATATAAACTTAAAAGTAGCGAGGAGAAAGCGGAGCCTTGTGGTACTTCGGCCAGAATTTGTACTCCTATGTAGTATAGTTTCTTAATTAAACCGCTGTGTCAGACTTTGTCCTAACCTAACTGACCCAAACTCGATGTCGTAATTCACAATATAAAACTCCGAGATCAATTAGATCAAACATGTTCAAATCAACAAGTGTAGTCTGATATACTGATCAGAACGTTTTATGTACGCAAGGCTATGTAACTGGTGGCAGGACCTCTTGTTGTGAGTCCGCGCGGGTAGGCACCACCACCCTGCCTGTTTCTGCCGTGAAGCTGTAATGCGTTTCGGTTTGAAGGGTGGGGCAGCCATTGTAACTATACTTGAGACCTTAAAACTTATATCTCAAGGTGGGTGGCGCATTTACGTTGTAGATGTCTATGGGCTCCTGTAACCACTTAACACCAGGTGGGCTGTGAGCTCGTCCACCCAACTAAGCAATAAAAAAAGGGTGCGTGTACCTACTTATGTACGCGCGTAAGAAGTTATACTTTATTTTTATTAAATTTATTTCTTTCTTTTTTAAATATTAAATAATTAATAATAAATATTTAACGTTAATAATATAATAATATTTAGTATGAATTATATTAAATAATAATTTTGTCATTTATATTACTAAAAAATGAATGCTAATAACACTTTTTTTTACGAGTGTACTTGCGCGAAAGTTCACCTGCGGCTATATTCAGACTCGCCAAATTATGTCGGTCGTATTGTAATGAGCGATTTAGTGGGCAACTTCATTTTGTTAATTTTGTGTCACGGTGCGCGCGCATCGTAATATTTCACTCTTCATCAATTTTTCATAACGCGCCTAAAGAAGTATAACTTAAAAAATTAGTTTTCAAAATTGAAATAAATAAAAGTATTTGGAAGATTAAAAAACTCAAGGCCGCAATATGAATTCTGGTATACTACCATATTATGTGTTTATATTAAAAAAGGTATAGATCATATACAATATTAATATATTTATGTATGTGATAGAATAGATTACGTACTGTAAAGCTGATTAAAATAAGAAATAAAATTTCAACAGTATTCTTCGTCGGGACGGTACTAACCCAGATGAGAACATACGGTGCCTGTTAAAGAAAGCTGGCATCGAGATGAATTTTAGTCAAGCTCTCTGCGAGGATTACAAGTAAGGATCGTTCCGACAATTTAGTGTGTTTAGTGCGAGTTTTTTAACGTTCTCGATAGCGTAAAAGTTAGCTCATATTTGTATGGAATGGGATCGTTTGCGTACGTTTGCCGCTAGGGGCGCTGTTCCAACTGCATACAAAATTGAGTTAACTTTTACGCTATCGAGAACGTTAAAAAACTCACACTAAGCAAACTGTATGTGTATGAGGATGTAAACCCGCGGCTCGTTTATCTGTTAAAATTTCAGTCAATTTAAAAAATTAAATAATGTGTGATGTGGCAACAGTATGTAAGTAACTAGCTCGAGGAGGCGGGGCAGTATAAAATATGCATGTTTCTTTTGATACATACCATATTGTGTCTACATCGTGGAAATCGCTCTGAATACCTCATGTTAAGTAAATAGCTACTTGGAGAAATTAATTAAATATATGCTTATTTTGTTGCAGAAATCTTATAAGGAAATGCAAGGACCAAGCTGAAATATTTACAACAACGGTTGATATTATTACAAAAGCGGCTAAATTATAGTTTTCAAACATTTTACTAGAAAAGTAAATAACTTGAAAGTATCATAATAATATGAATTGTTAGCGATATAAGTTGATTTAGTTTTCAGTCGACGTAACGAAATGTTTATTTCCAATAAGAAAATGTGAAATTTATATCCTTACTCGTTTAAATAACTGTATCTACAATTCCGTTCTCTCCGATCTGCGAATTTTGAGCGGAATCACTATCGTCTTTCTACAACATATCGCTTCTAATATATTACATATAAGTGTTTATTTTCAACTTACGTACTTGATTTATGTATGCTCATACAACAGTTTTATTTGATGATGGTTTTTAGTGTTTTTTTAATAGTAATTGACTTATCTGTATGCTGACGAAGCGTACTTTCACCTAATTTTTGATAAATGAATCCACTGCAATCGAAGAAATCAGCCATCCACCGGATACCCAAAGTGGTCGTTTGAAGCAGAGGCGTAGGCAAAACTTCAAAAGTACAATTCTAACTTTATAGTCACAAAATTAATACATGATTGGTTAAATAAATACATAATTACATTTATTCTACGACCCGGCAACATTTTCTAATATATCTATCGGATCTATTTATATATAATTCGGTATTTTTGTTTTACCTAACCACATTGAAATGCCAGTTTTGTGTTGCCCAGTTGGAGCACCGGGTAATGAAAACTCCAGAGGGTCCCACGAACAAGTTTATTGGATAATTTTATTAGTTACAGTAATGGTTATAGTTAACACACGGCTTATCACGGGTTCGAAAGGAATGGCGGCGAGTGGCGAGCGAGGTGCGGGCGTACATGCGTGTGTACGCCTCGGTGGGTGCGCGTGGTCTGCATAGGTTATATATAATCTTACTCTATGGTCTGCATGCAGAGTCTGATAGAAGCGCGTGCGGCCCGCCAAAGGAAATCCCTCGTTCACTACTCTTTGAGTCGCGCTGGGAGCCGACAACGATAGCTCCTGATTGGTCGCGGCGTGCGGCCAGGCGCGGCTACCGTTTGGGTTGCTATACGTACGAAATTTTTACTTAATAAATGCGTGGGCTGGACTCATTTAGTAAAAAAACCATATTGCGTTGGAATTTAATAAAACGACTGAAGACAACAAGTTTAATAGAATTTAATGAAATTATGGTGCAGTTGCATGTACTATTTGTGATTTTACATTTGATGCATTTGTGATGTTTTACTTTACTAATGTAGGTACAACTTTGTTTAATTACTAAACCATTCGTTTTTGTGTGTAGTAACTCCATCTGTATCGTTTTTAACGATGGAAATGTCCAAATTTTGTTTGTTTTTAAACAGATTTAGCAATATTTGAACTACACATTTTTATGCAATTATAATGTGAACATGAAACTAAGTTATTTTCTATATGACAAAATCCCTCGTAAAGAAAAAAATGTAATATTAAAATTCTTTAGATGGATTTTGATGGATGTGCGTTTTAATGATTAAAGTACCTTGTAAATAAAAATATTTTAAGTATATTAAGGCTTTTATTTTATGACCCCTGTTATGTTGTATGTGTCAATGTGGCTTTAGTATCTTAGACAAAAGTTCCGCTATGAAAAGACGAGAACGTAACCGCAGCCTCGTCGAAATACTGCATTCTATTATTTTTTCGTAGGAAGTACCTAGACGAGAAAATAAAGTTTAGCCTTAGCCTTTGTTGATTTTAGACTGTTCAAATATCATTTTTTTTATTGCTTCGATGGGTGGATGATCTCACAGTCCATCTGGTGTTAAGTGGTTACTGGAGCCCATAGACATCTACGACGTAAATGCCGCTACCCACCTTGTGGTATGAGTTCTAATCTCAGTATAGTTACAACGGCTGCCCCACCCTTCAAACCGAAACGCATTACTGCTTCACGGCAGAAATAGGGAGGGTCGTGATACTTACCCGTGCGGACTCACAATACGTCCTACCACCAGTAATTACGCAAATTATAATTTTGCGGATTTGATTTTTATTATACGCCAATCCAATCCACGGAAGTCAATTGTGAGCATTTTTTATTTTTGAAGGGCGGGGCAACTGTTGTACTGTAAAAACTGAGACCTCAGAATTCATGTCTCAAGGTAGGTGGCGGCATTTACCTTGTAGATGTCTATGGGCTGCGGTAACCACTTAACATCAGGTGGGTCGTAAGTTCGTCCACCCATCTAAGCAATAAACAAAAAAGTCGTAGATTATTGAATTTAAATTTAAATGAAAGGTTTTTTATTTATTCAAAACTATAGTGATAACAATGAAGATAACACACTTTTTAATTTAGAAAATGAGGATCCTCGATTCGATTGAGATTCGGATGTCACGCTTATCAGCGTAGTTCCTTTCTATACCTAATGTCCATATTGGTATGTATAGTAGGCTATCTAATATAAATAAAATACAAAATTCACTTCAGAAATCAGTAGGTTGGAAATCTGACTCAATCTGGCGCTGTGGTAGGTATTTGTCAAATTCGTAACAAAACAACTTTAAGTATACGTTGCAGCTAAGATGATCGTGATTGTGTTACGTGACCTTTTAATCCAGCTTAAACTATAAACTTATTATACTTAAAATTATTATTAAATAAATAAACATTTTAATAATAATGATTTTTAATGGTAATAATATTATATCTGAAGATGTGGATCTAATCTCAGTGGAGCTGGTTTATTATTAATTGGCGTTCCTACATACGTACCTAACACATGGAATACACATATCACGTATAAGATAATTATCATTTCAGGTGCTTAAAAATTCTACCGGTTACTTTCATTTAACTATTTTATCATGAGCGCTGTTCTTTTACTTTACTTATATTTTAAGGAAAAAAACGCACTTACTATACTTTTAAAACAGTAATAACAGCCCGGTCATACGAATGAACTTAAAAACGATAAAATAAATAATTATTACAATGAAGATATAGACGAAATTTGTATCACTATAAAAAATCGGTGACATTTATTTAGAAATTGTATTTATAAAATGTTATTTTTGACATATATTTACTCATTCTTCAGTTGGGTGTTTATTTCAATGGCTTGCAATTTTCTTGCCCTGGGTTGACTTAGCAACTAGACAGTTTTTATTTATTAGGGCTAAACTGTATAATTAACTGCCTTTTGTCTCTTATTATCGATAAAAAAAATCTCGGTAAACATAATCACACCTACTTTTACGGTTTGGAATACTTTACAGAATATTAAGTGCATTATCTAGGTACTTTACAATTTTCGCGGTCACGCGGGGGACAGACCGTAATAGTACCTAATTTTAATTATATCTGTGATTCGATTGTGCACATATATAAATCACATCTTAGAGCAAATGAGATAGGTACTGATTAAATTAGAATAAGTGACTTTCCAAAGGGCAGTATTCTCTTTCCTCATAATGATCCGTAATTGCTAGGTAAAACAATTTGTTTACTGTAGTACGGTACTTAAGTTGTAGAGTGCAACACTGGCACACAATGTCTGAGTGAAATTTTCCCGCTAAAATGGAGAGTAAATAACAAACCAAAAAGGTTTGAGTACATAGATGGCACCATAATTAAAGTTTACTATAATGATATCGATATACGATACGTTAACTACAAAAATTATGTCTAAATTAATTAAATCCTCTTCCTTCCATCATGGCCTGCGCGCAATACTTCGGGAATTGAACCACTGATAATAGGAAATCTGCTAAACCCTGAAATACAAAAAAAAAGTAAGAAAACGGTACTTTGTTATAGTATGGTCATACACAACATAAAACCAATAAATTTATCTATGTAGTATGGTACACCATAACTTCTGATAATAATATATGTATTTAAAAAAACAATTTTATAATAGATCTTAGCCAGGTCTTTAGTATGTTTTTTTATAGTTAACAGTTATTAAAACGGAAATAGAGTTAAAAACAAAGTTTTGTGATAAGCAAATTAATAAGTACCATATACAGTAACACCTAAATAGAGAAACAAGTAGTTGGAAGTAGTTAGGAAGTTTGAATGTATGTATATTGGCGATGAGAATTGAGCTCATGGTCACGAAGTGGCGTCATTCTTTAGTCTCGTTTAATAAAACTGATATTATACATTTTAAAAATATGAGAAGATGATTAGTAATTTGTTCTTATGGTTGGCAACTGAAACGCAACCAATGATTTGTGTGTACCCAGTTAATGCAAAAATCTGTACTTATTATCCTGGTAACTACTTACAATTTTCAAACTAAAAATTATACTTACAGACAACGCTTCTATGCACACTGTGAACGGAAGTACAATAATGTAGATGCCAGCCGCTATTCCAGCTACCCAGAAGGCAATGAATATCAAAATGATTAACCAGATTATGGAAAACAACACGTTGCCCATTTTCTGAAAAGAAAGCCACATAGGTAGGTATATATAAAACTTGCATGAGTAGACTCTTTAGGTAGTGGGTTTCACAAAAAAAAAATCGTTTGTAAAAGAGATTATAAGTAGGTACATACTTGTAATTTTTAATAGAATTTTTCTTCATACCTTGATTATATTTTCGATTAATTAAACTTTTTAATCTGAATATTTGTTATTATTATTTTGATACAAGTCAATAGTTTTTGGACAATTTAAGCGTATTTTGTTAGGAATGTTAAAAATGTACACTGAATTGTGTCATGGTGAATAAATAGTTTACCTTTAATCATGCTTATTTTAACCAAATTTTGAGTTGCGACTATTTTTCTATTTGCACCACAACACAATGATTGTGTTTGAGAATAGAACGTTTTATCAGAATATGAGGAATTTCATCGAAAACCCTAAATAAAGCGTCAACACCAGCCATAGATATCAATGTATACCTAATCTTTTATCGGTGGAATATATGATAACCAAAAATAAACAATTGTTGATTCAAGAATCTTTGTAAGGTAAAATATGTATTTAGTCATTATTCATACCTATTTCGGTCGACTCCTTGCTAAGTAAGTAATTATGGCAAATTAATTTTAAATTCTTTGGATAAGTAGTTAGTCACTACTTATCAAAAATTATGTGAAAATATACAATTTCTAAGAAACTACGGTAACGAATGTTTTTGGTCGAAGACAATAATAATTTTATTTAAAAAACTATTGGGTCACGGAATGCGCTATTTCCTATTAATATTATTACTATTATTTTATCTTTTGTGAATGATTTGAACCTTAAGTAGGTAGGTAAATGATGTTCTATGCCTGATAGAACTAAGATGTTAAAACAGAAATAAACATTTTCATGACATTTTTTAAGCTCTAACGAACAACATTTTATGAGTAATTGGAGGTTACCGTTTTTTTTACGTTTCTGATGAAAATAATGCGCTAGGTAGTTAGGTACGTCAAATTTTTGTCACTGTTCCAGTTCTGCTATAGCTTCTAATGCATCAATGTTTTTTTTTTTCTTCGATGGGCGGACGAGCTCACGGCCAACATGGTGTTAAGTGGTTACCGGAGCCCATAGACATCTACAACGTAAATGCCGCCACCCACCTTGAGACATTAGTTCTAAGTTTCTAAGTCTCCGTTTTTACAGTAAAACGGCTATCCCGCCCTTCACGCCGAAACGCATTACGACTTCACGGCAGAAATAGGCAGGGTTGTGGTACGTAGTACGTACTCACAAGACATACCACCAAAATTATAATTTTGCGGGTTTGATTTTTATTACACGATGTTATTCATTTACCGTGGAAGTCGATCGTGCACATTTGATAAGTACGTATTTCATTCGAAAAATTGGTACCTGCTGGTGGGATTCGAACACCAATGCATCGCTACATACGAATGCACCGGACGTCTTATCCTTTAGGCTATGACGACTACATTTATTGTTATTGTTATTGTTATTGGCTGATCAACATTAAGCGGTGTCTTTAATCAAGAAGTTTTCAGAAAATTGGTCGTGCTATTTTACTCAGATACCGCACATTCAAAAATATCCGCAAGGGCTACATTGCAAAATATGGGCCATGGGTATGATATATCTATTTTTTTTTTTATTGCTTAGTTGGTTGGACGAGCTCACAGCCCACCTGGTGTTAAATGGTTACTGGAGCCCATAGACATCCACAACGTAAACGCGCCACTCACCTTGAGATACAAGTTCTCAAGTATAGTTACAACGGCTGCCCCACCCTTCAAACCGAAACGCATTACTGCTTCACGGCAAAAATAGACAGGGCGGTGGTACCTACCCGCGCGGACTCACAAGAGGTCCTACCACCAGTAATTACGCAAATTATAATTTTGCGGGTTTCATTTTTATTACACGATGTTATTCCTTCACCGTGGAAGTCAATCGTGAACATTTGTTGAGTACGTATTTCATTAGAAAAATTGGTACCCGCCTGCGGGATTCGAACACCGGTGCATCGCNAAAAATAGGCAGGGCGGTGGTACCTACCCGCGCGGACTCACAAGAGGTCCTACCACCAGTAATTACGCAAATTATAATTTTGCGGGTTTCATTTTTATTACACGATGTTATTCCTTCACCGTGGAAGTCAATCGTGAACATTTGTTGAGTACGTATTTCATTAGAAAAATTGGTACCCGCCTGCGGGATTCGAACACCGGTGCATCGCTTTAACACGAATGCACCGGACGTCTTATCCGTTAGGCCACGACGACTTCAGATATACATCACAGTTTGACGAATTATCTGCTTGGTTGGACGATTAAAAGTCCTCTAAAATTCACGAAGTTGTCTGAGCTATGTACCTACACTACCTACCTACGCACCCTCTGTAGTAATTTCCAAGTCACTGGATGCTAATATTAAGTAATTCAAAGAAAAATATTGAACATTTAATACTTTGAAATGAAATGCTATAATACTAAGCACTTTTAGAAAAAAAAAATTGCGGAAAAGTAATACGTTTAAGTGTAATTTGATTCATCTAGTTATAAAAACACAAATAGGTGGTACATTTTTGTTAATATTAGGTATGATTTAATGGATAATCGCTAGTAAATTATGTTGTTTTTAGTCAAAATTCGTTTGGTATTAACTGGAAACCACCGTTGCTCAGAGGCAATACGTGAATAATCTTAACCACATAGGGATATGTAATTTAATTCTTAACCGCATTTTATAACGGCTTTCCCACCCTTTAAATCAGACCGCGTAACTATTATAAGGCAGAAATAAACAAGACAATGTTGCCTGCTAGTGTGGGTTCACAACTCGTCTTACCACAAATACGCAGATTAAATTTACGGGTTTAATTTAAATACAAAGGATATTATTATATTACAGTCGATCTCATTCATGAGCACGTGATACATATTTGTTCATAAAACTGGTACTTGATTTAAGATTTGAACCATCACATAATAACGCGATTCGAATATATGGGTTATCTTGGTAATGAAACAGCACCTACTTATAAAATATTAGTTTAGAATTTAAATAAAATATGAACATATTTCTAAGATTTTCCAATATACCTACAGATTACACGGACATTTTTCTAAGAGGTTGGTATGTATTTGTGAATTTCAATGGCATGCAATCAAAATGCAAAACTCATAATGAAGCGTAGAGCCGTTGAGTTTTCCTCGAAGTAGCAACGTAACCTACAAATTTGGTGGGGAATAATTTACAAACTCGTTGCGGAGGTGAAAGCTATTCACGTGTGTATCGATGCGTTTCTAGTATCTACAAACATACATATTGGGTTGGTACTAGGGTATCGGGGTCAATGACTTCATGATAATTGAGAATTCAGAATAACATTATTGTTCTATTTGAAATTCGAAATTTGATTTAGTTTTATTTGTAAATACGTTTACAATCACTAAGGACTGCAAAGTAGATAGGTATTAGGACTATATCACAACCAACGCTATCTTGGAACTAATGAGTGGCTTTTGTGTTTTATAATTAAATATAATATAAATGTCCTTATGTATTATATAAAATCTTTTTCCAATCAATTACTAATAAAGTTCTCTGGGAAAGGACAACATCTTCTTGTCATTGCCCACCTAATTACCAAGTTGGCCCAACACGTTGGACACAACAGCTTTTCATTTGATAAAAATTTTCTTAAAGTTTTGTGACTAGATGTCTTACCTAAGCCTAACATCAACGATCTTTACGAATGACAGTAAGGGTTAGATTCGGCGAAGAAGACAAGATCGCTCAACTGCATATTTTAATTAATAGCTGGATTGATTTTCGAATTATAATTAACACTAACGAATCAAAAGCTAGGCAAGCAAGATGTGGCCCGGGGAGGGAGTTTTGCTGAGTCTGCCCGTCTTGCCACCGCTGGGGTGGCGCATGTCGTCGGCAAAATCAGGAGATTGGGCCTCGACGTGGTGCTCAGTAAATCCGAGGCCATGTGGTTTCACAGGCCCCGGAGAGTGCCACCTGTCGATGCCCATATCGTGGTTGGAGGCGTCCGTATCGGGGTCGGGGTGCAGCTGAAGTATCTCGGCCTCATTCTGGACAGTCGTTGGACCTTCCGTGCTCACTTTCAGAACCTGGTCCCTCGTTTGTTGGGGGTGGCCGGCGCGTTAAGCCGGCTTCTGCCCAACATCGGGGGGCCTGACCAGGTGACGCGCCGTCTCTATACAGGAGTGGTGCGATCAATGGCCCTATACGGGGCGCCCGTGTGGGGCCAGTCCCTGGCCGTGGGGGTGGCGAGGCTGCTGCAAAAGCCGCAACGCACCATCGCGGTCAGGGTCATTCGTGGTTATCGCACCATCTCCTTCGAGGCGGCGTGTGTACTGGCTGGGACGCCGCCTTGGGTTCTGGAAGCGGAGGCGCTCGCCGCTGACTATCAGTGGCGGGCTGACCTTCGTGCCCGGGGCGTGGCGCGTCCCAGCCCCAGTGTGGTCAGAGCGCGGAGGGCCCAATCTCGGCGGTCCGTGCTGGAATCATGGTCCAGGCGGCTGGCCGATCCTTCGGCTGGTCGTAGGACCGTCGAGGCGATTCGCCCAGTCCTTGTGGATTGGGTGAATCGTGACAGAGGACGCCTCACTTTCCGGCTCACGCAGGTTCTCACTGGGCATGGTTGCTTCGGTGAGTTCCTGCACCGGATCAGAGCCGAGCCGACGGCAGAGTGCCACCATTGTGATTGCGACTTGGACACGGCAGAGCATACGCTCGTCGCCTGCCCCGCATGGGAGGGGTGGCACCGTGTCCTCGTCGCAAAAATAGGGAGGGAGGCGGATTTCGCCCAAGCCCTGGCCCTCTAAGTGTTTCGGGTCCCCCTCATATGTCGGTCTGGGGACCGGCGAGGGGGACCTAAGAAGACGTCGTGCAAGCTGCTCTGCACGCGTTTTACGCAAGAGCATCCGGGTGATGGAAGGCCGGCTATCCTCGACCCACGCTGGTTCTGACCCAGCGGGGTATTCCGTAGGATAGCTCACTCTAACCGGCGCCATCTAGGCGGGCTCCGGATAGCCTGCCGACCGAGAGGGCTGGTGGTCGTGGCGCCGACGACCGCCAGTCCGGCGTCCCGAGGGGGAGGGTGATGGGAGAGATGTGCTCCGCACTAAACACTTCACTTTCCCCCCTTTGCCTTTTCATGAGTTCTGTCTCATGTGAGGTTTGGACGTTGATTGTTGAGCAACAGGAGGTTTTAGTCGGTTCGACTCCGACATGCTCCGCCCACCGTCCCCAGTGGAGGGCGGAAGTCCGGCGATTTCCTCCTGACCAAAAAAAAAAAAAAAAAGGCAAGCAAGATGAGGGGAGGGGTACTAGACACTGGTAGAATCCGAAAGAATACGAGTAAATCGAATATTGTATATAATAGGCTGCGGAAAAAGTTTGTTCGCATTTTTTAAGAAAATTCACAACATTTTTTAATATAGTTTATTTACATTTAACTAAAGTATATATAACATTATTTTCGATAACTTTTTGCCATCTTGTAAGTAGAGATATGATCCCATTGCTATAAAAATTATGGGGCTTCTGATTAAAATACCGCGACAATTGGTTTTGGCAGTCCTCTCGTGATGTTAACCTGACACTGCCTAAAGAATCTGAAGAGACCGAAACAGGTAGAAATCTGAAGGTGCAAGGTCAGGACTATACGGCGGATGCATTAACAACTCCCAGCCAAGCTCTCTTAATTTTTGCCTGACCGGCCTTTGACCACGACCTTTTTCGCACGTTCTTGTCGTACGTGATCCACTTTTTATCACCAGTTTGATAGCTTCTAGCTTCTTCAAAAATGGTTCGATTTTATTACGTCGTAATAAAGAATCACAAATGAGTACACGGTTCATTAGGTTTCTTTCAGAGAGCTCGTAAGGTGCCCAAATATCGAGCTTTTTTGTACCCAGTTTTTTCAAATGCGCCAAAACTATTTTGTGGTCAATTCCCAGTTCTTCAGCCACGTCGTAACTACTGATATGCCAATCTCGGTCCACTTTTTCAAAAATGGCATCCATTTTATACGTAATAGGCGACCAGAGCGACGTGCATCTTTGACATCAAAATTTCCTGATTGAAAACGCTTAAACCAAATTTGTGCTACTCTCACAGACACTGCACGAGGTCCATAAACATCGCAAATTTTTTTTGCGGCTTGCGTTGCATTTTTACCTTTTTTGTAGTAAAATTTTAAAATGTATCGAATTTCTTCATTATATTCTCTCATCTTGACAGTACGAAAAATAAATAAAAATCACACATTTTCCTAATTTGAATTTGGAATTATCTTCTTTAAAACTTAAACTTTTAATGGTACCAAAACCAGCCAGATACAAATAGTATAGCCAAAGAGATTTTATTACAAGTTCATACATACTATAATGCGAAAAGAGTTTTTCCCAACCTATTAATAATTTATTACTCATGTTATTTTTGGACTGTACGACATGTAACATAACTAATGCGCGGGTTTTACAGTTAGTTAAATAGTATTGTTAATTAATATGCTGTCGCGTCTTGTAAAAAAGGCGGGAGAATTAGATATGAATACGAAAGGGATTTTGGAAGAAATTTTAGTGTCGTTTGCGCCTTTTACATCATAGAATTGGAGATGGCCTTTATTAATTTATAAATTAACGAATAACCAGCATAATCCAAATTAACGAACTGTTACAAATATCCATGGTATTTATCTCATGTGTGTTTTTAAACACAATTATAACCCGCTAATAAAGTATGAAGTTTAAATTAAAATTTAAATGCCTTTTTCGTTTTTCATAATGAATGAGAGAATCCTGATGCTTTTTCTCGAAAAAACGAGTCAATTTAATAATTAGATAAAGATAAATATAAAGAAGCCTTTATTAACAACCTTAATTCATATTTAGGTACATTTTTCTTTTCATTTGACATCGGCTAAGATTGTTTTGCTTTCGCATAGGCCTCCCCCAAAACCGAAAGATTAGGACAACCATTTTACATCAAGAGAGGTGTAAGACAGGGTGACCCTTTATCACCAAAACTATTTTCTGCAACGCTCGAGCATGTTTTTCGACAGCTAGATTGGGAAACATATGGCTTAAGTATAAACGGAAACTTGCTGAGCCATCTACGATTTGCGGACGATCTTATAATTATTTCAAATTTAATAATTATCATACTATAATTTATTTCTGTACGTGAATCATTATTATCATTATACGTATATATTCATAGAACTCGGTATGATTTAAATGCCGTAATATATCACGAACAGCCAAATGACATTTAGACTTAGATTTTATTACTATGATGTTAGGAATCATCAGCACTGCCACTGTTCAATCGGCAACGATTCCAGTACATCCGATATATACAAAATAACAACACGTTTTAGTATTTTTTGTAAATTGCGTATACGTTAGTAATTATAAGTAATATGTGTCGAAGTAGGTACTCGTAGGTAATAGTTCGCAAAATTACCATTAATACAATGAGTCATCGGTCCTATCTTTCATGTTAATTTCATTATTAATTAAAGTAATAGTTATTAGCAATCTACTTTTATTAGTACCTCCATAATAGACTAAGTAATTACAAATATTATATTTTAGTATACATGTATAAAAAGGATAATAGTTTAGGCACCATTCATATTTATCTATGTTAATATGTATTTGATATTTGCATTCAGAAATCAGGTAAATTTAGTATTTCTTCTTGGGATAAGGAATTTTAATTTCAGCACTATGGGGCTGTTACTTTAATAATTAATACGCATTTATGAAAACTACGTGATAATTATAGATTCTTGTATCACATGCGATTCCCCGTTACGACCTACTTAGGTACCGTCCCACGTAAATTTTCTTGTGTCCAGAATTAGTATTATAATCATATTTCGAATTAACGAATCACCAAGATATTCAGTTAACACGGTATCTGCACTGATATATTAAATTTAACTATAATTCCCCTTAAGAAATCCTCGCACTCTAATCATCCTAATGAATGGCATTGAAACTTCTGTTGGCGCGAATAGAATGTTGACACAAACAAACTTACCGGTTTTCCACGTTAGCGTAGCACGAAAATTTTAAATAAAGCCGGCCTGCCCCGCTCGGTTCTACTACTGTACTGATGACGACGTGAAGCAGTGAAACTACGACGGACAACGAATAGCAAAACCTTGTGTATTGAGCAATACCGAGGCGTAGCCTTATCTGGATGACGGAATGTGATGCAGTTGTTTAAAACAACGCGGCGAGGCGTTGTGTTATTTATGTATTAGCTGCGTATTAATCTTTATAGCAATACCTACCTACATATTTAGTTTTACAAATTCCAAAACTTATTTTGGAATTCGATTTTGTGTCAACTCTCCTAAATTGAAAATGTGTAGTGCCCATTTATCATGATTTTGCAATTGCAAATTTGACGCTGACTATAGCGTTGTTAATTTGGCGTAAATTGTGTACCCATAGCTTCCTGGTCTTTGTAAATTTAACCTTAAGTCAGAGTGGTTCCAAAGGCGGCAATCTTTCTACTAGGTCAGTCAAACATGGCGTTATAATGTGTTTGACCAATAAATGCAGTGCCACCCGTCACGTGACAATGAGCCGAAATTTAAGTTTGTATCAGCTTGAGTTACCTACATAGTAGTATTATTGATACTTATTTGTTTTTTTTTTTTTTTTACTTTATCTTCCGGATCTTCTCAGTGGGTCGCGTTTCCTATCCGGTGGTAGATTCTGCGAAACACTGCTCTTGCTAGGGTCAGTGTTAGCAACTCTCCAGTTTGAGCCCCGTGAGCTCCCTACAAACGTTAGGGCGAAGCTGAAATAGCCTCTCAACGATATCAGCATAAGTAGGAAAAAAAAAACCAGGTGAGTGGTGAGCTAATCCACCAGCTGTGGTATTCATCAATGAAGTATTACATTCTTTGTAGTTGATTGTAACGGAAAAAACATGAAACGCGATGATAAGTATCATGACCTGTCAAAATTATGATTCTAAATTAAACAAAGCTTATATAAATTATTTTATTTAAGTTTATAGTCTAAGCGACTGCGAACACGCAGTCCGTAACTTTAAATAATATTGGCTTAAAGGTCTAGTAACCAGCCCATAAAATTACAAAAAAAAACTTAGATAATAGTGTTGTGATAATACACATTTACACTTAATATTTAGTAGCAGTGTAAGTTGATGTAAATTCACTGTAAATTTTGCTTAATTATTACATTACTCTCATTTTATAAATAATTTTCGTTCCACATTCTATACTTGAGAAATGGCTGGTTATTTTGAAGAAATGGGTTGGAGAGAATTGGGTGATGGGGAACAACCAAATCATCTCTTACACTTTGCAAGATTTCTCATAGATTCTGGCTTAGATCGAAGTGGTGCAGCGGAGTGGCCAAGGTAATAATAATCCATTTAATTAATTTAGTACTAAATATTCAAATTTACACTAAGAATGAGTACAGGCTAAGTAAATTTTTTTATTGCATAAACACGAATTGTATGGTCTCAGTCTCAGCTTAAGTACACCAACAATGGCAGGATTTCAATTTCTTCATTGATAGTGAAAATTACGTGAATAAAATAATATAAAAAAAAAGTGAAAAATATGAGTAATTGTCTGAACGAATTGCCTAATTTTTGTTGTAGCTTACCTCCGCCTGCATCGAAAGAGGCAGTAAAAAAATTACAAGATGTTATAATAGAAAATCAAAAGAAAGGTTGCCCAATATGTTTGAAGAACTTAGAAGCTGGAGAAAAGGTTAAAAAGATGCCTTGTAATCATATTTTCCATCCAAGGTGTATTTTGACATGGTTAGACAAGGTGAGCTAATTAAACATTTCATTAAAACTTCATTTAATTGATAACACAAACAAACCTATTCTGAATTTATTTTATGGAATTCTAGTAAATAGTTGATACCATGTGAACTAAAATTTAAATTAAATTAAAAATTAAGTAATAGAAATGTTATAGAATGGAAAGATAATAATATTATTGTCCACTCCTTTACATTGTGTACTATATAGTATAATATTTTACTTGTAAATTAGTTGTATTTGTTTAGCTTACCATAAAATAACACTGGCTATTAGAATAAAATTTTTGTTGGCTATCAGTAGTAGTAACTTGTAGACCATAGGCATATTAGAAAAGTGATTTATGTCAATTAGCAGAAAATGTGTGCTGTATTGTCTATTTTGCACCACTCAAGCAACATGCTTATGGTGGACGTAGGAAAAGATTGTAAAGTGACAGACATCAAGCAACATCATTCTGAACTGGTGGTAGAACCTCTGTACTGGTGGTAAGTAAGTGGTTACTGGAGCCCATAGACATCTACAACTTAAATGCGCCACCCACCTTGAGATATAAGTTCTAAGGTCTCAGTATAGTTACAACGGCTGCCCCACCCTTCAAACTGAAACACATTACTGCTTCACGGCAGAAATAGGCAGGATGGTGGTATCACAGTACACTCTGCCTCCAGTAATAATGCAAATTTAAATATGCATGCATTGCAGTTAACTTTATAGCAAGAATTTTATTAGATTATTATTTGATTTGATTAGAATTAAAAAAAAAATTGAATTTACAGACAAACTCATGCCCGTTTTGTAGACATGAGATGCCTACTGATGATGAAAACTATGAAGCCTACAAGAAAGCAAAGAAACGAGCTGAACAGTCACAAAATGATCTTGATGCATTACACAATTCAATGTTTAGTTAGCAGTTTCATCATCATTAATTTTTTAGGGTTATTGGTAATCTCAGGTGATATAAATTATAAAAGGTTATGGTTATCATGTCTAATGTTTATCTACAACAATTTTCTATTAAAACATGTACATAATGTAAAATTCCTGAGTTTTTTTTATTCTTCACACGGTTGATTGAAGCAGCACACCTAATGTTAAGTTTTTATTGAAACCCACAGCATCACAATGTGAATGCCACCAACCCACCTTGAGGCATGAGGTCGAAATATAACTGATGTCTCACTCTCAAACATAAAACGCATCATAGATTAGCAGCAGAAATGCAGGTGGTGTTCACCTCTGTAGCTCACAATAAGGCTTACCACCAGTAAATGTCAGTTGGTGGTCGCTGTAGATCGGTATTATACTCAGAGAGAGCTATTGCCCATTCTCTATAGGCTTTCTTAGTCTCCCATAACAACACTGATGGAAAGAAATGGAGTGGTGCTATTCTGTGCCGACACCATATAGCCAAAAATATTTATGTATATTATGTTTGTTAGATATATGCAATAAATTAAAATATTCCCAAATATGGTTTTATTTATTTATTAGAGATTAATACTTTATTAATAAGTGATATCTGTAAAATTTATACTGTTAAACAAGCAAAAAATTAAGATTAATATACTGGCCACGGTACACCTATTTTAAGGTCGAAATTCATCATTACGAAATGAAGTCATATCTCCAATTACATTGAAATAATTTATTTACTTCAGATAGAAACTCGTGGTCGCAGGGCGGCGGAGAAGAAAGACGATGGTGTCGAAACGTGCGGCATTAGATAATACCACTATACTGGAGGTAGGACTTCTTGTGAGTCCTCGGGGGGAGGTACCATCACCCTGCCTATTTCTGCCGTGAAGCAGTAATGCGTTTCGGTTTGAAGGGTGGGGCAACTGTTGTAATATACGGAGACCTTAGAACTTACATTTCAAGGTGGGTGGCGCATTTATGTTGAAGATGTCTATGGGCTCCAGTAACTACTTAACACCAGGTGGGCTGTGAGCTCGTCCACCCATCCAAGCAATAAAAAAAAAACTCAGTGTTTTTGCAAAATACTTATTTAAATTACAATCGTATCCGTTAACGTACGAATCTTCTTAGATTCTTCTAAGAATCTATGGTGGAAAGCGTTCCTGGAGACGTCAAACGCGTCAGACGTTCGGTAAATGATTTAATAAATTACTTTAAATCTTAATTTCTGGTGAAAACTGGCGTTGTCTCACGACTATATCGGCTACTGGATTTATACAAACTACAAGTTTTAAGCAATTATCAACAAGACACCGTTTAGTCCTTATCACCGCGTCTCGTTGCTTCGAATATGGTTGTTGCCAATACGTTCTATATTTATTGGAAGCAACGATGCGCTTCAAGATTGATCACGTCAGATTGTTTCTCTCTAATCGTCCATTGATGTAATAGGTATTAAACCGTTCTAAGAAATAATGAAAACCCTGTGTCATAAAAAAAATCTAGGGTTTCATGGATTCTTAATTTAAAAGTGACATGACATTATTGAATAAGCCGTTAGGACTGTCAGACATTGGATAACTGCAAAATTACTTGTGTAAAATGTAAAATAAGACTAAATTAACATTATCGTAATCATAGAAATTCAATAAAATGAAAGGCTCGTAAGTACACCTTATAAGAAAGTATAAAATAACATTGAGAATCTGATTAACGCTTACATGTCATCCATTGTATAAGAAGAGATTACGTACTCAAATATATGAAATACTTTGTAATTTGTAAAGCTTTTCTCTAAGGGCAATACTTATTACAAAACTGACAGATTTTTATTTGAATTACATATTATTATTATTTGTGGCCAGTGATCAGTGGCCCATCCATATCATCAGATCCGGGCTCGATCCCCGGCTGGTATAAATTTCTTTGTAAAAGCTGTTTAGATTTTAGCGTCTGGATGTAGCTAAATGAAGATTCTAGTTTGAGACCATCGAATATGGATTCTTTACAGTCTTATCGGTTGACTACCAAAAAAAAATATTATCAGACCTATTTTAATTACATATTTTTTGCGTTTTTTTCTCACTTAAACTAAAAGTTGCGTAATAAAACCAAGTGGTTTTCGCAACCTTGTAAAATCTATAGGTAATAAATAAATATGGTTATTTTACCTAGGGCTGCCACATTGACTCATGGCTAGGGCTATAGGGTGACTATGTTGGAGTTGAAGTTATTAATCCAAACTTTTGCTCTTCCGTGTAAGCCACCAAACCATAATAAAAAAAAAAGTGTTAATTCCCGTAAATTAATGCCGCCGGCCTTCGGGATGTCGATGATTGCCAGATCTACGTCACGGCTGTTGTCGATGAAGTATCCGGAACCCACTTAGATGGTGCCACATCCTTGGAATACATTCCTGGGTCAGAAATAACATAGGTCGGGCAGTGATCTGTTTATTTACAATAAGTCTCCATTTCAACATTGAAGGGTTTTGAAACAGGCGCAAATCAAGTTCCGTCGCCTTCTGCAAAATGATTGTAAACTCATTTTCCCATACAAAATAGAGACATATTGCATCGCCTTTGCTTTATGAATGCTTAGGCTTGCTTTGTGGACAACTGTTAGGCAACTGTCTACACCACATTAGTTTATCTAGTTGTGTAGTCGATTAGGAATTTATATCAAGGGCTTTGAGACCGAAAGGTTATCAGGTTCACAAATAATTATATTTTTTTTATACTTTTCAGAGTTTGCAAGAAATGTCCTCCAAAAACCAAGTCACGGAAGCTTTCAAAAACCACAGATTGTAAAGATGTATCAGAAATTATTGAGGCCCTCACTTTAGATGAGAAAAGTTAGTTATTTACGTCGAAGTTACTTAATCGAATCAACAGGGACATTTTTTAAGAAAACAGTCTCTGTCGCGTAAATATGTACCTATGTGTTAATATGCTCCAATTATAATCAATAACGAGGTGGGCAATTATGGTCACTTAAGTTTTTTTTTTTAAAAACAAGTAAGTGCGTCAGAGTAACAGTAATTAATGATACTAAGGTCTTTGTGAACACTCATCGCTAAAATTAGTACAAAAGTAAACCATAAATTGTATAATAATTTTCGTCCTTTGAGAATACCGAACTGATGGTATTATAATTTCGGCTAGATTACTGTCCGTACAAATCTAATCAATAGCAGGAAAACCACAGCACTTAGGTAGGTATATTATTATGTTACGGCTTTTTATGTTTACGTTGTAGCTAAGTTACGCCAAGTGAATTTTTGATTCACAATTTTAAATAATTAATTTGATTATTATCTTATATGAGGGAGGTGTGCCTCTTACACTATGTTTGTATTACAGTGGCTGGTAAAAGTACAAGACAACCATCTAGACCACCGAAGTTTAAAATGAAAAAATTTAAACCGCCACATAATAAAGAAAGCTGTGTTCCAATGGTTCCTTCGATGCATACGAGGTACCAATTGGTTCATAAACCGACGTAGATTTGAAATAGAATTTCTCTTAAAAAAATCCCTTCCACCCAATTTTGGCAAACAATTATTACTACTTGGGACATTAGTGTAATTTTATTATGTTCAGTAGTGGCTATCAAGATAAGTAATTACAGTACCTATACGAGTAATTGGGCCTCTATGGTTTTATCTTCTTCTATCTTCTCCTTCTATATATATATAAAAATGAATTGCTGTTCGTTACTCCGAGAACGGATGGACCGATTTGACTAATTTTGGTCTTGAATTATTTGTGGAAGTCCAGGGAATGTTTAAATTGTAGATAAATATGAAAATGCTCGGAATAAAATAAAAATAACCATTTTGGTTTTCCCTTTGATGTCCCCCCCGTCGGACGGATTCCTTTTGTTTGTTTTAAGTTTATTCTAGACAAAAGTTTAGGTCTTTTATTTATCGATTGAGGTTCTACGAAGTCTGCCGGGTCAGCTAGTGTATTATAATTATCCTTATTTATGCTATAGGGTTTGATTTGAAACTTAGATCAATTTACTCCAATAAACAAATTTAAGATAAGTTAAACATGTATTTTTATTTTCGATTTCAGACTACGGTATATTGGGCATTGTTCTCTGGAGCCTTCTGTACCAAAAAACAGGTTATAATTTCAGTATATACAATCGTCTATAACTTATACCTATGTATTTATCTACTATTCGATGTTATTGGAATGTGAAAGTTACCTACTAGTGACAATTAATTTGACATATTTGATGAATTAAACAGGAAAGGGTATACTGGATTCGATTTTCCATCATCTTCAGATGAAGAGGAATTATCTAGTGGCATTTTAAAAACAAGAAAACTGAGCGACAAGTACAAGAAAAAAGTGCGGTATTTCGATTTGCTACCGGGGGATATAATGTTTCCGACACCGGCTCCAATAATAAAGCATTCAGCTTCTGACAAGTCTATTTTAAATGTGGGTATCTTTTAATTCCTCACTGAGTAGAATATGCCTTCATAGAGACCACGATTTTTTTTTGGCTTAGATGGGTGGACGAGGTCACAGCCCACCTGGTGTTAAGTGGTTACTAGAGCCCAGAGACATCTACAACGTAAATGCGCCACCCACCTTGAGATAAGTTGTAAGGTCTCAGTATAGTTACAACGGCTACCCCACCCTTCAAACCGAAACGCATTAACAGCTTCACGGCAGAAATAGGCAGGGTGGTAGTACCTACCCGTGCGGACTCACAAGAGGTCCTACCACCACTAATTACGCAAATTATAATCTTGCGGGTTTAATTTTATTTACACGATGTTATTCCTTCACCGTGGAAGTCAATCGTGAACATCTGTTGAGTACGTATTTCATTAGAAAAATTTGTATCTGAGATTCGAGCACCGGTGCATCGCTCAACAGTATGCACCGGACGTCTTATCCTTTAGGCCATGACTTAATTTTTTATCCTGTAATGGTTAGCTGGTAATGGTTAGCTGGTAATGGTTAGCTGGTAATGGTTAGCTGGTAATGGTTAGCTGGTAATGGTAAGCTGGTAAGCAAGAAAGCCAGTAGAATAAGAACTAATAACTCTTGTTACAAATATCTGTCTTTGCTTTATAGTTTAAAAATTTATTCTTCAGTATACAACTACAGATGAATAAAACGCTGATTTTAAATTATCAGAACGTCTGGTTGCTGTATTTCAGGTACCCAGTCCTAAAACGAGTGGAGAAGTAATTCAAGCTCAAAGAGCATCCGTTAAACCAGGAGAGTGTAAACCTCCTTTACCCTCAAAATCTGGATATGAGTTGGTTACTTTGTGGACTTGTATTTTTTTGAGAGATTTTAGATTTGAAGTACCTAATTAATTCTTTCAATCAATTTTAGTTTGTTCAAACCGCACAGTGGAATTGTCATAAACAGGGACAAGGAATTTGTTCCTGATGTTGTTTACATGCCGGGTCCAAAGGGATTTATTGGGTAATTATTTCTTAAAGCCGTTTCCAAAATTGATTGTTTTTTAATGTATCTGTGGACGAATATAGTTCATGTTACTTTGGTTTGTCAAGGCTGTATG